GCAAGTCTTAAAAGTCTAACGATAAACAATCCAGGCCGAAGCTGTATTGGGAAAGACTGAAATAAAATGGATTTTTTTAAAATAAAAACAAGTGCCAATTTCTTATATTTAAAACAACAAATTACCCTAGAGCGTTCAGTGGAGATCAGCTCTTTCATTTGTATAAATTTTACATAAAAGATTCCCTGCAGGCTATTTTAATAAATGTCATCAAACAAACTCACTGACTTGCACATCCCACCTATTATTTATTTCTCTTTATTTCTTAGATATTTTTTTTTATATGAGAAATATTGTGCATTGATTTTGTTCCACCACCATCAACTACTCCTGGAACATGAACAACTCTTAAAATAAGCACTTTTAAACATGGAATATACAATTATATAATATTGAAGTAATTTCCTTACAAAGAACAGGCAGGTCTCCCATTGTGAACGCTGCTTCAATTATTTTTCTGTCAGACACATCCACCCCAGCATGGTGGTATCCAACCCCATATAAAAATAGATCTGTTATGGAAACATTAATGACGTTTATTGTTTTCTTCAAGAAAAATATACTTTTGGATGTAACCTACACAAAGAATGAGAAACTTGTCTGTAATAAACGTTTAACTCGCAAGTTGGAATAAACTTGGAATTAATAATAACATTAATAACTAAAAATAATAACTTAAAATAATAACTTAAAAACCGAGTGTAAAGTCAGAGTCCACACTCCTTGCTTTCGGCAATTCAATAATATTTATTAACCCCTTAAGGACGGAGCCAAATGTACACGTTGTGAACAAAACAAAATGTAAACAAAACCTGGCATTTGCGCTACATGTCTGTCCAACCGTAATACACCTCTTTCATAGTAAATGCACCCACCCTTATTATATATCATTTTATTCAGGGGAAACAGGGCTTTCATTTAATATCAAATATTTAGCTATGAAACATAATTTAATATGAAAAAAATGGGAGAAAATACGATTTTTTTTTTGTTCTACATGACATTTTAACGTCAATGTCATAATACTGTTTGCTTTTACTGCAATAAAATACACATATTTGTATTCAGCAAAGTCTCACGTGTAAAACAGTACCCCCTATGTACAGGTTTTATGGCGTTTTTGGGAAGTTACAGGGTCAAATATAGCACGTTACATTTGAAATTGAAATTCGCCAGATTGGTTACGTTGCCTTTGGGACTTTATAGTAGCCCAGGAATGAAATTTACACCCATAATGGCATACCATTTGCAATAGTAGACAACCCAAGGTATTACAAATGGGGTATGTCCAGTCTTTTTTAGTAGCCATTTGGTCACAAACACTGGCCAAAGTTAGTGTTAGTATTTGTTTGTGTGAAAAATGCAAAAAACGCCAATTTTGGCCAGTGTTTGTGACTAAGTGGCTACTAAAAAAGACTGGACATACCCCATTTGCAATACCTTGGGTTGTCTACTATTGAAAATGGTATGCCATCATAGGGGTAATTTTCATTCTTGGGCTACCATAGGGTCTCAAAGGCAACGTAACCAATCTAGCGAATTTTAATGTGAAAAAAATGAAACGCAAGCCTTATATTTGACGCTGTAACTTTTGAAAACACTATAAAACCTGTACATGAGGGGTACTGTTGTACTCAGGAGACTTCACTGAACACAAATATTTGTGTTTCAAAACAGTAAAAAGTATCATAGCAATAATATTGTCCGTTTAATGCTGTTTGTGCGTGAAAAATGCAAAAAACGTCACTTTTACTGGCGATATCATCGTTGTAATACATTTTACTGTTTGAAACACTAATATTTGTGTTCAGCGAAGTCTCCCGAGTAGAACAGTACCCCCCATGTACAGGTTTTATGGTGTCTCGGAAAGTTATAGGGTTAAATATAGTGCTAGCAAATTAAATTCCCTTTACTTTCGGCATGGGTTGTCATACAGGTCCTGCTAATTGTAATTAATTAAGATACCTAATTATGTAAAAATATTACATAAATATATATGTAGAATCAATATATGTATATATATACGTATGTGTATATATATGTATATATCTATATAAATTTTTTAAAATATTTTTATTTATATATAGGTATATATATAGTGATATATACGTATATATTTATGTGTATAAATATATATATTATTTCGTTCTATGTGTATTTTGATATATATATATATATATATTAATTTCACAATACAGTTAGAACGAAATAACACACATCTATATATTTTTAATTATTTATTTTTAATTATTTTTGTAATTTTATTTTTTAACGTATTTACATTTTAATTTTTTTTATAATATATATAAATATATATATAACAATAATTATATATATATTTAATCAGTATCAGTCTACGTGTAATTTGATATTAATATATATATATAATTATATATATATTAATAGTAAAATACACCTAGACACTGTACATGTGTGTATGTATATGTGTATATATATACTTTGATCATATATATATAATATATATATATGATCTAAGTATATATAATTTAATTTTTTTACACTTTTAACTTATTTTACTTTTATTTTCAGCCAGCAGGGGGACCCCCTGTAATTACAGGCAGCCCCCCTGCTGGCAATACAGAAGCCAGCTATACCCAGCCATGTGATTGTGGGGTCCTCGCTAGGACCCCACTCTCACACGGCCGGGGGGCTTCCTGGAGGACGGTCGTGCCGTGGGGGGCTCCCTGGGAGCCCCCCCACCGCGATCGCCGGCGTGGGACCGCCGGCGACCGGGTAAGTACAGAAAGACCGGAGGGCGTACTATTACGCCCGGCGGCGTTTAGAGCCGCCTATTAGAGGACGTAATAGTACGCCCTGCGGTCTTAAGGGGTTAATAAAGGCTAATCAAACAAATAAACAATACATATACATTTAAAATAGGCTAGTATATGTTGCTACTAAAACTAACATTGACTGAATGGAAAGTAGGCTAAATTAACATAATAAAACAGGCATAGACACGTGATACAGTTACCACTCCATTGATCAGCAGCTGAGAGTAAGAGAGAGAGGGTGTGTATAGTGGGGAGAGGGGAGAGAGGAGAGAGAAGGTGAAGAGAGGTAATTCAAAGAGAGAGAAAATGTGCTATTCACAAGGCTTTAAACAGGTTAGCCCCTCCTTCTGCTGGACACACCTCCCTTAGTCAATCCCTTAGGATGTAACAGAACCAGAGTGCCTCCTGGGGGAAGGGGGATTGCATTGTAAGGGAATGGAGGAGGAGTTTATCAACAAACCAACTGATTTTGCCTGGTGAAAGGCCATGTGCTTCACAGAGGACTCCATTATTGCCTAAGGGTAGAATGGGGGCTTGAATCCCTGTATTAGAACACAATAACACTTCATTGGCATACAGTTTGGCTGTTAATCACATCCCCCCACTTATTACATTGTCACTTACCCCTGAGCTTAGCATCTTTTAATGAACCAGCTGTCTTTCGAAGCCTTAGAGAATTGAATAAGACATTCCATTAATTATTTTATTGCATATGACAGCATAACCGGAAACATTTTTTAACTAAATATTTACTGTCGGTTTTGGTAGCTCAGTAAACAATACAGCCAAAACAACAGAATGATAGTCAATGCACACTGCAAATAGATACAAACAACCATATCTATATGGATAGATGGATGTGAATAATAACATAACATGAGGTGAAAACAAGAGAAAGGAAGTGATATTGATGTGCTAATTATTTGGCCAGAAGTCATTAGTCCTAAATGGCATTTATTTAGCTTGTTTGTGTCTGAACATTCACCTTCTATGTAGTATGCGAGAGCTAGAATTCTCTTTTTGTCAGTCTGTGGATTTTAAAATTAAAGTCACAGGAGTAAGCCTCGAGTTAATCTGTTGGGTTTTGTGGACCCAGGACATACTGGAAATCAAGAGAAATCTCAATCAGATGGGAGTATCTGTCATAAAGGATCACTGTTTTCATATTGAATGTTATCTTGCAAATATGCATTCCTGATACCCAAACTAGGATTTAGCAAGTATTCAAAGTGCTAGAGGTGGAATAGAGCGGTTGGGACATATCTTGATTATAAGAGAAGGTGCATAAAAAATCAGGAAAGCAAGTGTCCCAGGACAGAAATTGTTAGGTAAATAAATAAAATCAGTCTTTATAGATCAAGACAGAAAAAGTGCTCTTTTTATAGCTATAAATCATTTTAAAACTAACTGTTGGCAAACAGGTGAGCACTTATCGCTCAAACAAATGCACCAAAAGGGCACAGTTTGCAAACATTCAAAATCTGAAAAAATAAAAAAGCATGAAATATATAAATCTACCACAAAAGACCATGGAGTAAATTTGAGAAATTACAAAACAGTAAGGAATTTGAATCATTTAATAATAATCCAAGTATAATAAAATTGATATATTTTAATAGCATGGATACATTTTTTTTTCACTCAAACTTTTTGTAGTTTTAAATAAATATAGTAGAGTGTGCTGAGCATTACAACACTGAGCACACACAAATTTTGCTTTGATAATAAGAAAAGATTAACAACAGCGTTGAACACTTTAGCGGTTGGACGGGAGTATAGCACCATTATGCCTCTGAAAATCCCATTTTAAAAAGGGAAGCCTCCATATATAACCAGTTAGGTGGCTCAAAAGCTTTCTCCGTGTCCAACGCCAATAAAATGCCTCTTTGAGAACTGCGGTGTGCCCAATCTATTAAATCTATAAAAAACCTTATGTTGTCCCCCACTTGTCTCTTTGGCACAAATCCTGCTTGCACGTCTGAAATAAGGGACAGAAGTAGCGGTTAAATGTGTGAAGTTTTGCGTACAATTTAAGGTCAGCATTCAGCAAGGATATCAGATGCAAATTTGCACATAAAAATTGAGGTTTATTAGGTTTTGGAAGGGTAACGATTTGAGCTTCCAGCATTTCCTGTGGGATTTTGCCAGAGAACTGTTTGTAATTACAAAGATTGGTTATATGCGGGGTTAATGTTTTTTCCAATTTTATATAGGAGTAATTAGATAGGCGTCTGGACCTGGAGCTTTATGTTTGGGCATTGTTTTAATTGCGCTTCGCACTTCTTCTTCAGTAAATGGTGTGTCAAGTTCTAAGGCTTGTTGATTAGTAAGGGATGGATTAGTAAGGGATGAAAGTTGCATTTTCCCTAAAAACTCCTCAATAGCCTCTCTTGTAGGAATATAAGTGATTGAATCGTCCTTTAAGTTATATTATCCTTTATAATATAGTGCCAATTATTCGACAATATGTTGGGGATTGTAAAGTTTTGTCCCTGACTTAGAGATGATATAAGGAATTTAGTTTGCAGATAAATTAATTTCAATTTTTTAGCTATTTTTTTAACCAGAGATTTATTTGGTGCCCTTTTATTTTGAGTCTCAAGAGAGGCTAAATTTTTAAGGAGTCATGACTGGGTTATGTTTACTTTCCTCTTAGCAAGAGAACCTAATTGTATAAGGACTCCGCGTATAACAGCTTTATGGGCCGGCCAAATGCCTTCAGTATTTGAGGTAGGGACGATATTTTCACTGAAATAGTTGTTTAAGGCAGTTTCTATTTTAATGCAATTTTCAGGGGTATCTATCAATGCTTCATTTAGCCTCCATTTGCACCTTCCTAGAGATGGATGAGGTGGCATAAGAGTGATTTTAACAGGAGCATGGGCTTGTTGTGGACAAAAATATTAACCCAATTAATGTTAGTAAAATGCCTATTTACTCAGCATAACCATAATCAGTATTATCCATGATTTACCTAAAATGGCCACTAGGGAGTTTCCCCTTGTCATCAACTAACACCCTCATTAACAAAGATGGCGCTGGAATCTGGGGGAGAAGTCTATGTTGCCTGTGACATCACACCTGGTAGGAAGAGCAATAAATGAACCACTTAACACCTAACCAATTATTGATGTATTATTCTCTGTTATCTCTGACAATGCATATGATGTAATTCTGCTTTATAAGGGGCATGCCGTCCCCTGGAATAAACTCTTACTCAAGTTTTTCATTAACCTAAACTTGTGTCTGGTGTGAATTACTTCAGGAGCGTGCACGCATACTTCAATTTGGCAAGGGGCAGATATGCAAGATTATCAATTATTTGATTGATTCCATAACAGTCTGACCATGTACATAAACCTATGGTAACATCTGAGACATTGGAAATGGTGGATTTGTCCACAAGGCACATATCTATACATAAGTATGATGTATGTATATGGGAAAAATAAGCGTAGAGGAGTATAAATTACGCCATGTATCATTCAAATCATTAGTATGAAGTAAGTTCACTAAATAGCGACTAAGATGAAATTAAGCTCTCCAGAGTTATGACTTCTCTGTATATCCAGTAAGGGATCTAGTGTGCTGTTAAAGTCCCCGCATATAATGAGATGTCCCTTCTTGATCTGTGTGATCTTGCAGAATGCACCTTGAAAAGAGGGTTGGTGGGATTCATTGGGTGCAAATAGGTTTACTATAGTTAGTGGTACGCCATTCAGAGTGCCCATTAAGATCAGGGTCCGACCGTTTTTATAATCATATAATTTTTCGAGAGTGAAGGACCAATCCACATGAAAATAAATAGCAACATCTCTTGAATTATATGGAGAGTAAGCGTGGAATGCCTTAGGATATTTCTGAGATTTTAACTGAGGGGGGTTACGTTTGCAAAAATGAGTTTCTTGGAAACATACAATTGCTGCTTCTCAGTTATGCATATCTTAGATCGCCATACGTCTCTTATGCGGATGGTTCAAACCCTTGACATTATAAGAAAGAATTTTAAGTTGGGCAGTCATCATGCGTCAAATCTAAAAAGTTATGAAAAAGTGCCAATCTAGCGGGCACAGCTCAAGCTTAACAAAGGGTAAACATATTTGATCCCTTCCTAAATTATCTTTAAGTAAAAAAAAGCATCATATGTTTGTCAGACATTTTTCCCTGCCTCTCCCTATAAAATGTAATAGTAATTAAATAAGATCCCATATAAATTAACTACATCACCCTCACCAATGATGTCGATACTGAGAAATAGGGCATTCCCCCGGGAATGAAAGCACACGACTACAAATACACAGGATTACAGAGGGCGATAGACTTAAACGAGGGAGACCAAATTTTGACTTTCAAGGCACTGAAGGAAAAAGCCTCACTAAAACCCGCTGACTTTTTCAGATACCTAGTAAAAGGTTTTAAAAAATTGTGTCTCAAAGAAAACCCTCCAAAGGGACTCTATCTCCTTGTATGTCCATCTGAGCTCCAATGACACTGACTGGGTACAATTACACTACATTGCCCAATGGAATCGGATCTTGGCAAGGTACTAGAGAGTACAAAATTGTGTCACCCAACAGAAACAGATGTACAAAACCATACTCAGATGGTATACTAGCCCGGTAAAGTTATACCATATGCGCCAAACCCCGGACGACCTGTGTTGGTGGGGATGTAGCCACAGGGGGACATACAAACACATGTGTTGTGACTGTCGTGGACCACGGTCATTCTGGGAGGTGGGAGACCTGTTAGACAAGGTATTTCACAGACAGGTAAAAAGAGACCCATGGGTGTTCCTGCTGTCCAGATCAATAGACAACTGGCCAAGAAAGGAACAAAAATTACTTCAAAAAATCACCCTGGAAATCACCCTGGCGGTCAGGCGAACCATGGCGCAAGTATGGCTCAAACCCGACACCCCCTCAATGGACACTGTAATCCATAAAATTAAAGACACACATATTATGGACCACCTAAAAGCACAAGTTAGAGGCACGATTGAATCGTATGAAAAGTAATGAGAGTTGTGGATGGCTGGGGATTGAGGGACTAGGGGAAGTGGGAGCTGGGAGGGCGAGATGGTATACCCCTAAACCCAGTAACAAGAATTCTGACCCCAACCCTCTGGCTCAGTGAGACACGAACCCAGGGAAGATACAAAACCCAGGCCAACCACTGTGTATGCTACACGTTTCCTATAGCAGAAACCAACCTGCAACATACATGAATGACCTTTACACCCTGAGCTCTGGCCATATGACCTTTTTGTTTTCTTCTCTTCTTCTCTCCTTTCTACTTTTCTCTTTTCGATATTGTTATCTTTATCTCTTACACACCAATTGCAACACCTGTGGCAGACAGGTGAAGTGTTTTGAAATGACAAGTTCATATGTCAAAGTTTGTACTTTATTATAAAAAATCATTGATGTCGGAATGCTAGAGAAGCAGAGATACTCAACAACCTAAATAACCATAGCCATGCAAGTCAAATATTAAATACCACATGTAACATAAACGTTATATAACAAATGCATACGATACATTCTGTTACAAGTACAATACACGTTGACCCACCAAAAATAAAGAATTAAAAATAATACTAATAATTTGTAGTTCTTATGTAGTCCTACTCACATTTTCTAGAGCTAGAACCAGCTCCAGCATGGATGGTGTACAGTGGTATAATCCCGCTTATAGGATATGTGCAATGATAGAGTAAGCAGATATCACAGCACTATGGGGACCATAAAACCCAGAATTAATAGAAAACAACAACAATAGTACTCTCTGTGTAGGCTGAACCGGGAGGAATATATAGGAAATTTTTCCTCACATTTAATTAAATAGGCAGACCGCTCAATGTATAAGGTGTGAGTGGTATAATCCACATCTAGGATTCTTTTGTGAGGTCCTGATTGGAACGGTGAACAATTAGTGCCAATTGGTGAACAATTAGTGCCAGCATGCGGCCTGATTATCCAAGATAAGTTCGTACTTCTTCCCAGAATTCTTTTATCCAAGAACACTCCTAAAACAATCATTTCCCTCCTCCCCATATTGCAAGGATTTGGTAGAAGGAAGTAATATTTAACACTCTCTGGTTATTGCAAGAATGGTGTGTGAAGCAAGTTAGTTAGTTGGATTTCGATACATAATTGTTGGTCCATAAAGCAATTAGAAAATATATCCTTTCACAAAATCCAGTCCAACGCATGGCAGTATCTCATTGCTAAGTTATTTTCAAATATATGAAGGATATTGAGGCCTACATAAAATTGAGAATGCTGTAGCTGTGTCAGACCCACCCTCAACCTTTGGACATTTGGGATGTGGAACAAGGCCAAAGGTTGAGTATTTATACCAATTAATATGATAGCCTAAAATGGGGCCAAAAAAAGGACTGTATTTTTTCCATGTATTAGACTATGTTTTTTCTAAAAAAACAATTAGTGTAAAATTGGGAATAGCCTTATACATGGAATATCACTGATTGATTTCTTAATTTTGGGCTCAAAAAATAGGGGTCGTCTTATACATGCAAAAATATGGTACTCATTTGCATAAGATCTAAAGGTATTTGTTAAAATCAAATTTATAAAGAAAAATGTAATCTACTAATGCTGTTCTGTCTATTTGGTTTGTACCAATAGATAGCCCCTGATGGAGATATCCTGGTTGTAAGATCCCCTGTACTCACCCTGGCGGTCTGCCGATCTGCTGCCACTCCCATGCTGTCAGAGGCTCCAGTCAGCCTCTCAGACGCCAGACACTGTGCACCGCCCCTTTTTAATGACGCGGCGCACGCGTGTCGGCGTCATGACGTCGCGGGAGCTCTAATCAATAGAGCTCAGTACACTCAAACATTTTGGGGGCGTGGTTATGCTAGCCACGCCATCAAACATATAAAAACTCAGTTTGCCCAAGGCACAGGGCCCTGTTGTTACTAGTGTCCCTATAGGGCATTATTTTGTCCTTTTTGGTATTCTTTGGTATTGACCCGGCTTGCTCTCGACTACTCCGTTTTCTGGTTCCCTTGACTCGGCTTTGCTAATCATTCTTGTGTATCTCTGGCTCCCCTGACTCTGCTTTTGTGTCTCGATTTAGTGTTTGAATTATTATTATTATTCTTTATCCGGCCATTCAAAGGACCGGTTTAGGGACTTTCTATGTGTTTCCATTTATTTCCCTGTGGGATTTCACTCTGCGTGTTGGGTTGTACGCTGCACTGGTCATTCGAAATATGCATCAAAGGATCTAGAGAAAGGTTTAAAAGAATGAAAGATCATAGAAAGCCCTGATGGACCCCTCATTCCATAAAGACCAGGGATGAATGAAAATCATTAATTGCTATTTGAGTTGAACATAGTTACATATATAGTTACATAGGTACATAGCTGAAAAGAGACTTGCGTCCATCAAGTTCAGCCTTCCTCACATTTGTTTTTTGCTGTTGATCCAAAAGAAAGAAAGAAAAAAAACAGTTTGAAGCACTTCTAATTTTGCAACAAGCTAGGAAAAAAATTCCTTCCTGACCCCAGAATGGCAGTCAGATTTAACCTTGGATAAAGCCGTTATTAACCTACATTGAAAGATTCTATCCTTGAATATTCTGTTTTTGCAAGTAAGCTGTTTGAACATCTGTATGGACACTGATAAAACCACTTCGTCAGGCAGAGAATTCCACATCCTTATTGTTCTTACAGTAAAAAAAAACTTTCCTTTGCCTTAGACGAAATCTTCTTTCTTCCAGTCTAAACGCATGACCTAGTGTCCTATGTAAAGTCCGGTTTGTGAATAGATTTCTACAAAATGGTTTGTATTGGCCCTGAATATATTTGTATAATGTTATCATATCCCCTCTCAAGCGACGTTTCTCTAAACTAAATAGGTTTAAATTTGTTAACCTTTCTTCGTAGCTGATATGTTCCATTCCGTTTATTAATTTTATAGCCCACCTCTGCACTTTTTCTAGTGCCATAATATCCTTCTTTAGAACAGGTGCCCAAAATTACACAGTATATTCAATATGTGGTCTTACTAGTGATTTATAAAGAGGCACAATTATATTCTCGTCTCGAGAATGAATGCCTTTTTTCATGCATGACAATACCTTACTGGCCTTGGCCACTGCTGATTGACATTGCACATTGTTGCATAGTTTGTTGTCTATAACAATTCCCAAGTCCTTTTCGTGTGTTGTTATCCCTAATTCGCTTCCATTAAGGGTATATGTTGTTTGTGTATTCTTTACGCCGAAGTGCATAACTTTGCATTTTTCAACATTAAATTTAATCTGCAATTTAAGTGCCCAGTCACCCAGTCTATCTAAATCCCTCTGCAGCAAAGTAATATCTTGCTCACATTGTATTATTTTACAGAGTTTTGTGTCATCTGCAAACACTGAAACATGACTTTCAATGCTTTCTTCAAGATCATTTATAAACATGTTAAATAGAAGGGGTCCCAGAACAGACTCCTGAGGGACACCACTTGCCACCCAGCATTTTCATCTAGACCGATTTCCTTGAGTTTGAACACTAATCTATTGTGTGGAACTCTATCAAATGCCTTGGCAAAATCCAAATAGATCACATCATTTATAAACAATTAACTAATGATCTGCGTCATCAGGATTCTTATAAATATATTTTAAAAAGTGCATAAGGCACTCCAACTCCAAAGAGTTGTTAACCAACACATGTGCCATTACAATGGAGAAAAATCCAAAATTCACACTTTTCTTACCCACAGTAGCAGTCCCAGTCCAAAATACCAGACAAGTTGGTTTTGTTTTTTAAATTAATACATCCAATTTATATATTCGACAAATAAAAATAATTGACTTGCATGTAAATAAGGGAAAGAATATTGGTTTCACGTTTCTGACATGTTGTATCACCTGTTCACAAATACCTACTGACTTCCATACACCCACCTTTGTTTATGTTCAATACCCATATTAAACCTGGCATCTTTTGCAAGGATAGCAGCTGCCTGTTGCACACTTTTCCTTGTAGCACAGAACTACAGAAGCAAAAAAAAAAAAAAAAGACAAAATGAGGGTGTAAATTGACAGAAGAGTCAAAATTACATTAAAACACTAACTTTATAGTATGTAATATAAAATTATGATTACTACAAGAGTTGGTTTCTGGTCTGAATATGTTTGTATTACACCAGCAATTTTGTAGTTAAGGGTCAAGTCAAATTTAAACTCTGTTTGGTTATTGCTGCAAGGAAACCCTAGAACTACTTTGCGAAGCTTTACAGGTCGTTGTGTTTCATCCATTTTCATACAAATGGCAGATTGTTTTCCATCTGACAACCATTCAGCAATCTAAATAATGAGAAAATATATATAATTACACACCAAAGAATTTGATATTTTAATGTTGTAAACTGGTCTTACACATTTAACAACTATGCTTTTAAAATCACCATTATCATAAGATATCAAATATATAACTATAACCATATCAACTAAAATGATCTTAAATCATGTATATACAATAAATGTTTACAAATTTATCTATAAAATCACCTTCCAATTAATAAATACAATTTTACTTCCTTTATTTTTCCACATTACAAAGTTGTTTAGTCACTGTTGTAAATTGTATTGTATATTATATATTTTTAAAATAAGTAGTGATATTTAAACTTACAGGAAGAATTAATGGAAAAAAAAAAAAACAGCATCCGGCATCCAGCACAGCTCTATAACACAAACTGTTTCTTTTCACTACAACTGGAGTGGAAATGCAACAATTTAAGTTTACACAGCAGCTAGAGCTAAATATCAGTCATGCCTTCATCTCTGCCACAAGAAATTCACTATCTCCAGCATCTTCCTGTACTGCAGAACATTGTTGGAGAAAGTCTTGTACCACACTTGACTTGCTACATTAATAATTCATACCATTTCTACGTTTTCCCTCTGCCTTTCCAACTAAGATTATTTCACCTCTCTCATCTCCATCTCCTCTCATGATCCCAAATGCCTTTTTCATACCTCTAACTCCCTTTTCTGCCACACTGCAACCCTGCCATTAACTAACTTCACTGCTAGTGAGTTTGGATGTCAACCAAATTATAAATGTAATCTCCCCTCTCTCCTCCTCCTGTCCAATGCTCTGCTTCCATTCTGTTCCTTCCTCAACTCTTAACTCCTTCCTTGTCTCAGAGCAAGAGGTCTCTAAACGTCTTCTAGCCTTCCTGTCCCACTACATGACATCTTGATCCCCTCCTCTCTCACCTTATCCAATCCCTAGCATATGTTTTCAACCTCTCTCTGTCTACAGGCATCTTCCCCACTTCTCTCAAACATGCAATCATCAATCCTATCTCAAAGTCATCTATTGACCCTACTTCTTCTTCTAGGTATCATCCCATAACACTACACCCCTTTACTTCTAAGCTTCTGTAACTGTAAATTCCACTTTAAAAATATCACCCAAATTTGCCCTTTTTTAACTCTAGATACAACTAAAGCACTTATTCGTTTCTCTAAACTAAATAGGTTTAAATTTGTTAACCTTTCTTCGTAGCTGATATGTTCCATTCCGTTTATTAATTTTATAGCCCACCTCTGCACTTTTTCTAGTGCCATAATATCCTTCTTTAGAACAGGTGCCCAAAATTGCACAGTATATTCAATATGTGGTCTTACCAGTGATTTATAAAGAGGCACAATTATATTCTCGTCTCGAGAATGAATGCCCTTTTTCATGCATGACAATACCTTACTGGCCTTGGCCACTGCTGATTGACATTGCACATTGTTGCATAGTTTGTTGTCTATAACAATTCCCAAGTCCTTTTCGTGTGTTGTTATCCCTAATTCGCTTCCATTAAGGGTATACGTTGCTTGTGTATTCTTTACGCCAAAGTGCATAATTTGCATTTTTCAACATTAAAATTTAATCTGCAATTTGAGTGCCCAGTCCCAGTCTATCTAAATCCCTCTGCAGCAAAGTAATATCTTGCTCACATTGTATTATTTTACAGAGTTTTTTGACTGACTTCACTATTGCAAAACACTACACATTCACTTTCCAAATATCTGCATTGCCTCTTTTTAGTCTGTAATGAATGCTGCCAGCCCTCACTAACTCCTCACTACATTCGCTCTTTACTCAAAAAAATAAAACTCTTCTTGTTCCCTTCGCTCTACAAAATACCTTCTTCTTTGACTACTGTTATGCACCAACCCCAAATTTAATACCACTCAGACTGACCTGGGGGTCCGTCATCTTGCCCAAGAATAGCTGTATCCTGTTACCAAGGCTACACTCTTACACTGTAAGTGCTGGGCTTTGAGAAAAAAGAGGTCCTAGTACAGAGCCCTAAATAACTCTGCCAGAGAGGTACAGAAGGGGAGGAAGAACCAGAGAAGGAGGCACTGACGGTGCAACTAGAGAGGTAGATAGAGAACCAGGAAAGAGTAGTGAGGTCAAGTGAGTAGTGATGTCAAGGTTGTGAAGGATGAGTTGCAAAAGCTGGTGGTCAAGAGTGTCATAAAGATCAAGAAGAATAAGTAACAAATAAAGGCTTTTGGATTTTGCTGCCATTAACTCATTAGTCAATTTGGTCAGGACAGTCTCTGTGGATTGTTAGGATTGAAGCTGGATTAACTATTAGGATTGAGTCTGGATTAAAGCCAGAATGAAATTGGTCAAGTAAGGATTTGGAGTTCATAGTCTGGAAGTTGAGTATACACAAACCTTTTAAGGAACCTGGAGGCAAAGACAAGAAGAGAGGACAATAGGTCAAGAGAAGGTTTTTTTGTTTTTTCTTTAGTATGGGTGTGATCAGTGCATGTTTAAAGGATGATGGGAAAATGTCAGGGGAAAAAGATATTGAAGATTTTAGTCAAAGATGGGACAGTGACAGATATTGAGTAATGTGGGAGAGAGTGAGACCAAAGTGGACACTCTGTGCAGCCAGAATTCCTTGCACCAGGGAGGGTCATTTGATCTCTTATAACACTGGGGTCTTGTGATTTCTCAAATACCCCCTGGAGGTATGATAATATAAATAATACTTCAGCTCACAATATTCATTATGGTAGAAACATACATCTTCAGCATTTGGAATAGTTGCAGAGACTGCCACAAATCTTATAGGTACATGTAGTTCAGATTCCTTGGAAATCCGTGAAATAGAAGATTGCATTGTTTTCATTCTGCTAACTACAACTTCAAGAGTCGCTCCTCGACTTTCATCTTTCAATGTGTGCACCTACAGGAAGGAGAACCAAACATATGCACACAAACAAAAAGAAGAGGCATTTGATTTATTACAGTAGAAGATTAAATTATATTAATATACAACACTGAATGGACACATCAGACATCCCTCCTGTAATAGCATACATGCATATTTCCTAATGTTTTTTTCAATGTATTATGTTATTCAGATTTAAAGGCATACTATAGTCACCAAAACAACTTTAGCTTAATGAAGCAGTTATAGTGTATCGATCATACACCTGCAGTCTCGCTGCCCAATTATTCACAATGTAGAAATTAAATCACTTTTAGTTCTGTTTTTGCAGTCTAGCCACACCTCCCCTTGCTGTGACTCACACAGCCTGCATGAAACCAAAATGGTTTCACTTTCAATCAGATGTAATTTACTTTAAAAGTTTTTATCTCCTGCTCTGTAAATTGAACTTTAATTACTTTCAATAGGCTCCTGCATGGTCTAGCAAGCTATTAACAGAGCAGGAGATAAGAGATTCTAAAGTAAATAGAATTTACAATAAATGAAGTATAAACATTAGATGATTCTTTACAGGAAGTGTTTAGGAAGGCTGAGCAAGTCACAGGCATGGAGGTGTGCCTAAGGCTGCACAAACAAACAGATTTAACTCCTAAATGGCAGTTATTTGAGCAGTGAAACTGCAGGGGCATAATGTATACACCAAAACTGCATCATTAAGATGAAGTTTTTTTAAGTGACTATAGTGTCCCTTTAATAAATACCTTCATATGTTTGTAAGAATTTATCTATCAGTGATCAAAATATAAATTTCCATCTCCAAAGGTTAACACAGCTATGTACATCACAACAATGTAAAGTGTTGTGAAATTAGGGGAAAATTATGCCTTACTTAATAATTTTCCTTTCCTGGCTATTAATCATTGCAGCATCACTAATGGGTAGTATCCCCCAGCCAGATCAGGACAGGACATAAACTTTTTGAAATACATTTCTTTATATGAGCAATCAAAACCTATATTCTCTTTTAATCTTTATTTCCCATTCGTCCCAGTACTGTCTAAGGCTATGTAACTGCAATGAAGGTTGTCTGAGAGTCAATTCGTACCCCTTATTTTCAAGTATATAATTAAAAATTTCTTTAATAGTAAGGATTGTTGGTGACCTCCAGTATCTGGGGATGGCCATAGTAGCAGCTAAAAGGATATGTCCAATTCTAATTTTAAAAAATCTGAGTGGGGACCCACTGAAGGGCAGGCTATTTCAGCTCCTGCCCATTCTCAGAATACTCTTGCGCCCTGTTTATTTGCTCTCCATAAGTTTAAAGGGTAATCCAGATGTGGCTCTCTTGCTTACAGTGCCTAGAGAGATATCAGCTATGCCTCACTGATGATGCCTAACAAGGCTGAAACGATTGTCTGGGGTTGCTGTGTCTCTCGTGCAGAGGGAACTTGCTGGCATTTCAGATCTGGACTGCCCATATGGGTGTGACCAGTCTGATATGTTTCAGAGATGTTCTCTCTGTAATGGCACAAGATGAGCTAAAACCAGCTTGAGATCTGAGCGGGGACCCACTGAAGGGCAGGCTGTTTCAGCTGCTGCCCGTTCTCAGAATACTCTTGCGCCCTGTTTTTTTGCTCGCAATTATAATTTTATCATTTATTTTCAATAGTATTAGGAAAGAATTTGAATAAAGCCAATTCTAAAGTTAGTACAGGAATATTAGAATTTACTTTTTGGATTAATTTATGTATTTCTTCTCCAACATTTATCTGAATATCTGGTGTTCATTTTATTTAACCTATAGGGGGATAAATACCATCTATAAATTATTTTGAAATGTTTTTCCCAATGACTGGAGCACAGAGTAACTTCTTTAAGAGTTGGTACATATTTAAGTCATTCCTCCAGGTCATAACAAGCTCCCATATGTTTTTCCCATGCAAGCATATAATCATCTTTTAATCTAGGTGTGGGCATTAGATAAGAGTAACTGAAATGAGATATAGTAAAGCGTTTATTAGGGTTATGTAAGTATGTATTTTTCAGATCAGATAATGCATTTTTTGTATAATTTTGATCTAAATTTTGAATGAAAAATGTATCTTTCATTTTGTTAATAATTAATTTGTGTTCTAATTGCATATTATCTTCTAGGCCGAATTTATCTTGAAGTTTCATAAAAGACAAAAAGAGAAAAAGTCATTTAAATTTTGAATTGATTTAGTGTGCCAATTCTCCAAATTTAAATCAGGAAAATTTAGTTTTAATACAGACAGCGGCATTATTCGTGACCACCCAGAGGAAGGGCCGACTAGCTTAAACACAGTATCCCAAGCTTTGATGGTAATCTTAGTAGTGGGAAACATCTCAGCTATCCTGGGTAACCCAGACATCGGAAGCCACAGTATTTCTTTAATAGAATATGGTGACATCCTATAATTTTCCATCTCAAAAAAAATTGATTCTGCTCATCTTATTTCCCCATATAAACTTAATTAGAGCATATTGTACTGTTTTAAAGAATATCTTCGGAGTTGACAAGGGAATAGTTCTCAAGTGGAATAGTATTTTAGGTAAGATGTTCATTTTAGTAGATGTTTTTACCTAACCAAGAAACTTCCAAATTATTACATTTCATTTTGTAATATTGGCCAAGCTTTTTTAAGATTAAATGTGTACATACGGTTTACATTTTTGCATGGTTTTATTCCAAGGTAATCAATGAATGAGTCTCTCCAGTCAAAGTCAAATTTAGTTTTAAAATCATCCAGATTACACCAAGGAATGTGTATAGGTAGAGCCTGCATTTTCCCTGTATGGAGTATGTAAAATGAGACTTCTCCAAAATCTTGTATTATAGAATTTAGGGAGTCAACTGAAGTTTTGGGTTCTGCCAAAGATAAGATAATATCATCCGCGAAGAGACCTATTTTATATTCAGTATTTTTTTACTGAAATTCCCTTAATCTATGGTGATTTCCTTATCAATGCGGCCAATGGTTCCATCACTAATGCAAATAATATCTTGGACATTGTCAACCCTGTCGCGTTCCATTACTTAGTGGAAAAATATCAGAGGTGAAACCTGTAGCAGAAACTTTTGCAGTCGGGTTTTGATATAATGCAAAAATTGCTTTAAGAAAGGGGGTGGGGTATATTAAATTTGAGCAGAGCTTCCACCAAATAGCTCCAGTGACCCCTATTGAACGCCTTCTCCGCTGTCACGTATTCATCTGCACATAAAAATGTGGTTAATGGCATTTACTGTCCTGACAGGAAAAGTTGTGCTGAGCAACATTACTGTCCTCACAGGAAAAGTGGTGCAGAGCAATATTACTGTCCTGACATGAAAAGATGTGCCGAGCAGCAATCAAGCACATGTAAACCTGGTATTTGCCTTTGGGGTCAAAGGCTGGTTACAGCCAATCTGATCCACAGGAGGGGTCTTTAAACCCACCTCTCCTCTTGCTCATTGCCCTGCTAAGATTGGGTATCTGATGAACCAACTTAAAGGTAAGGCCTTAACCTGGGCTAATCCATTGTGGGAAAGTAATAGGAGTTACCAGGAATTACTGGCGGAATTCAAACTGACGTTTGAACCATTAGGCAGAGAGGAATACGCCTCCACTGCCCTAATGCATATCAAACAAGGGAACCAGTCTATCTCGGATTATGCCATAGAATTTCATACCTTGGCATCTGAGGTAGACTGGACTAACAACGGATTAATCGCTGCTTTTAAAAAAGGATTATCCAAAGTTATACTTGATGAAATTGCTGCCAAAGACCTACCTAAGGGGTTAAATGACTTTATTACCAATGTGATGCAGATCGATAATAGACTCAGGACCAGGGAAATTACTAGAAACAGAACTAGACGTTTGTCTATGGCACCTCGATTCTCCAAACCTGTTGTCACTGACCCCTCGACGAGGTCTGAATCCGAACCTATGCAGTTAGGGGTTACAGGACTGAGGCAGAGAAACAGTATAGGAGAAGAGAGGGTCTGTGCTTATATTATGGCAAGAAGGGGCATATGAGAGATGCTTGTCCTATATGTCCAGAAAACTTCCGCACCTAAGAACCTTAAGGGGACAGGTCTTATGTGTAATGGATACGTCCTCTAGTAATTCCCGAAGCAGATTTCTCCTTGACATTTCCGCCTTTTGCAACGAGGAGAACTTTTCATGCAAAGCCCTGGTTGACTCAGGTACGGCTGGTAACTTTATTGATTAGCATTTTGTTAAAAAACACACTATACCAGTCAAGGAGAGATCATCACCTCTAGCGGTTGAGGCTATTGATGGGAGACCCCTATCTTAACCTCTTATTACCCGTGAGACCTTGCCTATTTGCAATACGATAGGAACTTTGCATAAGGAAGACATTACTTTCCAGATAAACGCTTCTCTTCTTGTCCCATCGTATTAGGGTTCCCTTGGCTCATCAAGCATAACCCTCATATTGACTGGACTAGAGGGGAAATACTGGAATGGGGTAGAGACTGTCAGAAAAGCTGCATGTTACCCATTTCTAAAAAAAGTGGGCATTGTTGCTTTACCCAATGCTACCAGGGGCGTATTAGCCGCGAGGCAAACAAGGCATTTGCCTTGGGCGGCATTTTTCAGGGGGCGGCAAAAAACGCCGCCCCCAAATGCCCAGACAAATGCCTTGTTAGCCTTGCGGCTAACTGACCGGGCGGCGCTGGGCAGGCGGCTGGCGAGGAAGCTCTTCCTCTGAGCGGTCCGCTCAACTCCCTCGCACGCTGCAGAGTGAGGCTGGGAGCCGGAAGATGACGTCATCTTCCGGCTCCCAGCCTCACTTTGCGGCGCGCGAGGGAGCTGAGCGGACCGCTCAGAGGAAGAGCTCCCTCGCCTGCCCTGCCCAGCCCAGCCGGCAACCACTGGACCACCAGGGAGGTAATGAACCCCCCTTCCCCCCAGCACTCCCAAAGGTAAGGAGGTTGGGGGAGGAGGGGGGGTAAATAAAAAAAATGTGTTAATGTGAGTGAGTGAGTGTGTGTCTGTTAGTGTGTGTCTGACTGTGTGTGTCTGACTGTGTCTGTTAGTGTGTCTGACTGTGTGTGTCTGTTAGTGTGTGTCTGTTAGTGTGTGTCTGACTGTGTGTGTCTGTTAGTGTGTGTCTGTTAGTGTGTGTCTGACTGTGTGTGTCTGTTAGTGTGTGTGTCTGACTGTGTGTCAGTGAGTGTGTGTTTGCCTGTGAGTGTGTGTGTCTGTTAGTGTGTATGTGTGTGTCTGACTGTGTGTCAGTGAGTGTGTGTTTGCCTGTGAGTGTGTGTGTGTGTGTGTGTCTGTTAGTGTGTAGTGTGTGTGTCTGTGAGTGTGTGTGTCTGTGTGTCTGTGTGTGTGTGTGTTAGTGTGTGTGTGTCTGCTGTGAGTGTGTGTGTCTGTGTGTGTCTGTTAGTGTGTATGTGTGTGTCTGACTGTGTGTCAGTGAGTGTGTGTTTGCCTGTGAGTGTGTGTGTCTGTTAGTGTGTATGTGTGTGTCTGAGTGTGTGTGTCTGTTAGTGTGTGTGTGTGTGTATTTGCCTGTGAGTGTGTGTCTGTTAATGTGTGTGTGTTTGTTAGTGTGTGTGTGTGTGTGTCTGCTAGTGAGTGAGTGTGTGTCTGACTGTGTTTGTCTGTTAGTGTGTATGTGTGTGTCTGACTGTGTGTCAGTGAGTGTGTGTGTTGGCGCGGGGGGGGGGGGCGCCTGAGTTTTGTCCTGCCTAGGGCAGCACAAAACCAGGATACACCACTGAATGCTACGTCTCCGACTTCTGAAATTCCCATACAGTATTGGGAGGTTAGAGAGGCATTTAGTAAAAGCCAGACTAATGCTCTTCCTCCACACAGATCTTACGATTGTTCCATTGTTCTGTTGCCTGGGGCTATGCCTCCTAAAGGAGCAGTATATACCCTATCCCCACAAGAAAGTAAAATCATGGATGAGTACATCAAGGAATCTTTAAGTAAAGGCCATATACATAAATCATCCTCGCCTGCTGGTGCAGGGTTCTTTTTTGTTTCTAAGAAAGATGAAGAATTACAACCTTGCATAGACTACAGGGCATTAAACAAGATTACTATTAAAAAATGCCTATCCCATTCCCCTTAAATCCGAATTGTTTGATAGACTCCAGGGTGCTAAGATCTTCACTAAGCTTGACCTTAGGAGTGCGTACAATTAGGTGAGAGTTAGGCAGGATCATGAATGGAAGACGGCATTTAACACTAGGAGTGGGCACTACGAATATCTTGTTATGCCCTTCCGGACGTATTTCAAGGCTTATGATGTACTCAGAGACTACATTTACTCTTTTGTGCTTGTATACCTGGATGACATCCTTATTTATTGCCCCGACATCCAAACTCATCATGATCATGTCAAACAAGTTTTACAAACTTTGCTTAAAAATGGTCTTTATTGTAAACTTGAGAAATGCGTATTTGCTTAACATGAGGTTCAGTTTTTGGGGTATAACAATTCTGCCTCTGGTTTCCAAATGGATCCTCGCAAACTAGAGGCCGTTCTACAATGGCCATTACCCAGTGGGTTAAAAGCCATACAGAGGTTTATTGGTTTCTCTAACTATTACAGGAGATTCATCAACGGTTTCTCTATGGTAATAGCCCCCATCACCAATATGTTGGTCCCAGCTGTTTATGTAGGGGATTAATTGCTTTAGAAAGTTCATCTGGATAGGCCTGGTATTCCACTGGGCCAAATGAACCAGTCCTATAGTGGAGGTTAAAGATCTTCTAGATGCTCATGTAATCAGTGATTTCAGGAGAATTAAATTAAGGTTGTTCCTGATTCTTAGTATTCTTTATCAGGATATCTTGATTTTTTTATGTGACCATGTTTACAGAAGCTCCCAGGAATACTGTTCGATGAGACATAATCCTTGTGTGGCTATCACTGTCTTATAGAAACATACAATTATGATTTTACTAAGTAGGCTGTATGTCTGAAACTGTATTGTACTTTCTTGCACTATATCTCTATGTATGTTAATTTATCTGTACCTCTTCTAAGATTGTTAAATAATTTTAAAATGCAATAAAGAAAAATATATTCAAAAAAAGAAATCCCTAGATGCTCATGTAATCAATGATTTCGGGAGAATTAGATGAAGCTTGTTCCTGATTCTTTGTATTCTTTCTCGGGATATCTTGGTTTTGTTATGTGATCATGTTTATAGAAGCTCCCAGGAATACTGTTCGATGAGATGGAGTTAATGAGTTTTTCTCTTTGTTGATTATCCAGCCGTGATCTCGGAGACAAGTCATAGCTTGATTGGTGTGGAAAATTGCTGCTTGTAGAGTAGAAGCGACAAATAGGATATTATCCAGGTAATGGAAGATTCTTATACATTAAACTCTTAGACACACTATGAGAGTAATTAGAATCCTGGAAAAACTTCTGGGAGTGAGGCTTAACCCAAATGGAAGGCTTTTGAATTGATAATGTGGTCCGAATATGTGAAATCAGAAGAACTTGTAACAGAGACAGTGGATGGGAATTTGATAATATGGGATCCTATAGATGTTAGCCAGTCAACTGGTTTGATCAAAGGGTTAATTGTGGAAATGGATTCCATCTTGAAAGGTCTTTCAAGTACAAATTGATGTTTTTGAGGTCTATAATCAACATACATTTCCCATTGAGTTTTGGTGTTTGGAAAACTGTTGAATAGAATCCAGTGAATATCTCGGAGTGACAAACATCTTCTATTACTCCTTGGGAGTATATTTTGGATTTGCATTGTCTTTTGGCTTTTGCTTTTTCTCCTCCTGGAACTTTTACATTTATGAAGGACCTTTTAGTTGGAAATGTGTTGAATTCTATTTGTATCCTTCCTTTAAAGATAGAACCCAATTGTCTAAAATATTTTTGGTCTAGACAGGATAGAAGTGAAGGAGTCTTCCTCTGATAACACCTGCCTGGACCAGTATACCTTCAGAAGGTTTTAGGTGATGTTCAGTATCCTCTCCCACAAGAAGGTTTATTTAGAGTATAATGATGATTGAAAATTCTTCCAGGTATTGTATCTGGAATATTCATTCCCCGGATGATAGGATATGTTTTTGCGAAAGGACCGGTCGCAAAATCTCCTAACTCTCCATGAAAATTGGTTTGAAGATTTTTTCCCTGTGGTATAAAGACTTTTTAGCTATCAGTCGCTTTATGGATTGCTTCATCCAAAACCTTTCTGAAAAGTAGATCACTGAAATGGAAGGAAAGGAATTAAAGATATAATCTGCTCTCTATAAATGGGCTATGATCTTGGTTATATCCAGGGAGGCATCTCAGTTAAATTCCATGGCTAGTTTGAAATCCATGTTGCTTTCAATAAGGTCCTCTCTTCTGACTCCTCTCGAGATGTAATCTTACAAATTATCCATCCAAACATTCATAGCCTGGAAAAAGTGGTAAGGGCAATTGCTGTATGTAGAGCTGAGCGATAAAAATGTATTAATTAAATTGGCATCCATTCTTTTCTCCACAGGTTCTCTCAGACACGCCATGGAGTCTATAGGGAGAGTGGTACTTTTGGTATCTTGATGACTGCCGCATCTATTTTTGGAACTGTTGTCCAGGACTTACAATATTTGGTGTCAAAGCGTTAGATTCTTGTTGTTTTGTTCTTTAAGGTAGCTTTTTTCTCCAGTTTTCCACATTCCTCAGTGATAATTCCTGTAATAGGTGGATGCACTGGGAAAGTGGATCTCAGGGATCTTAAATTTTCTAAAAATCTGGCAGATTCCATGGAATCTGCTTTCTCCTCTAGAATCCTAAGAGTTTATCTGATGAGATAAATCAGTTTCTCAACTGATTTAGAGTCCAATGAGTTTGGACCATAATCCATGTCATCTTCTTCATCAGCTGAGATGTCCTCTAAATAGTCTGATTCTGAGTACGAAGTAGAGGAATTGCGCCACACGTCATTCGCATCATCAAAATAGAAAAAAAATTAACTAGACGCCATTAAAACAAGGAAGTAAAGTGAATTGGCTGCACATCATTTAAGCCTCGTTCACCTCATCGAAGGAGCAAAAAAAGAGGCATCTGCTAACGTTAAGGAAGTCTGGCAAGCCCTTCAGACACAGAGAGGCTGAAAGGTGTCTGGGAGACGCATGGTACACATCGGAAGGTGTCCATACAAAATGACTTTTCAAAACAAAATTCCTGTCTGTATGGCTGAGGACAGGAAAAAGGACTACTGTATGGAGTAGGAGGGATCTTTTATGAACGCAGTCTCGTTTTTATTGGTTTATTTCCTATCGTGATATGGCTCAAGGAAGAACTACCCACTAGTGATGCTGCCACGATTAGCCAGGAAATACATTTTAATATATCCACTTTGAAAAGTAACATCTAAAAAAATTTAAACATTAAAAAAAACCAAAAAAGTTACAAATTAAAATAAAAAATACTTTGAAGCTTAGTAATAGTGTAGAAATTACCTCATCAATAAGAAATAGACGTACAAGTTGAACCAAAGTATTATCTCTCCATTTCCTGGTCATGGTATCCCATTTTTCCTAGTTGGAATACACACATTTTGTTGATTCTATATCAAGAAACTAATGCAAGCAATAATCTCTTAACTTTTTGTTTAAGAAAAAAAAATCATAACATTTGAGACATTGGAGAAGTTAATAAAACATATAATTAGATTATGTTGCACTCATAAAGGGCATACTAAGCATGAACCTCCCACGCCTCCACGCTCTGTCAGTCCCTGCATTGGCTTCCAGTTAGATATAGGGCCCAATTCAAAATTCTGGCGCTTGCTTACAAATCCCTACATTATGCTGCTCCAACATACCTATCCTCCCTCATACACAAGTATGTCCCGTCGAGACCCCTGCGCCCAAGACCTACGCCTATCCTCTGCCCGGATCCCCACCTCTGATGCTCGCCTTCAAGACTTCTCCAGGGCTGCACCTATTCTGTGGAACTCCCTTCCCTCCTCAATCAGACTTTCACCCAGCCTCCATTCCTTCAAAAAATCTTTGAAAACTCACTTCTTCATTAAAGCGTATCAATTAAACTGTCAGCAGGTTTCTCATCCCCCACCCCATGACTCCGTTCCTGCACCTGTCAAAAATGACCTACCAAGCACTCAATAAACCCTTCTGTAACAAACTATTTAGTTCCCCTACTTAAACCCTTTGTGTCACTATACCCCACTCCCTCTAGCATGTAAGCTCATCGAGCAGGGTCCTCAACCCCCTCTGTTCCTGTACGTCAGTGGTCTGATCTCAATTATGTGTCTGTTAGTCCACCCATTGTACAGCGCTACGGAATTTGTTGGCGCTATATAAATAATAAAATAATAATAATATAATAATAATATAATATTTAAGCCTATTCTTCAGGACCCTATAGGCATTATTCTCATTAGGAATTAATCATAGTAAATATAGTTAGTATAATTTCTACCCAGCTGCCTAGGGGTACCCAAATTTGGCTATAAGTATTATAAGGGTTAACCGATAAAAATATTTCAGAGGATACAATGTAACAAATGCTACACTATATACTATTTAAGCACATACAAATCAGGTTACAGCTACATTTTTAACTTACTGGAGTTGTCATAATAATGTGAGCATGCTGAATCTCAAAAAGATCATCCATCTGAGTATCTCCTGTGAGCTCCTTGCAATTTAGCCCAGTGGGTCCAAATTTTTCTTTCCAGTCATCAAATCGTTGACCACATAAAGCTTTCATGGGTGCCACTATTCCATAATAATGATACACACATTTTTGTTATTTATATCTTTATTACTATATTGAAAATGATTTGTTTTATCTGATTCCTTTTTTTAACATAAAAACATATATAGAAGCAACAAATTCAACTTGTGTGATTAGGTTGTGGTGTCTAGAATAAAACCTCACAAATGGATATTTGTTAAATAAACAGAGTATTAAAACATGCTAGGAAATGAAAGATACATTTAAGGATCAGGTCCAGGGAGTGGAGAAAAGTGAAGAAATTTTCACAGATCTTTATAGGGACACTGTAGCTTAAAGGAACACTATAGTCACCTAAATTACTTTAGCTAAATAAAGCAGTTTTAGTGTATAGATCATTCCCCTGCAATTTCACTGCTCAATTCACTGTTATTTAGGAGTTAAATCACTTGAAAAAAAAAACTGGTTTCACTTTCAAACAGATGTAATTTACCTTAAATAATTGTATCTCAATCTCTAAATTGAACTTTAATCACAAACAGGAGGCTCTTGCAGGGTCTAGCAAGCAATTAACATAGCAAGGGATAAGAAAATCTTAATTAAACAGAACTTGCAATAAAGAAAGCCTAAACAGGCTCTCTTTACAGGAAGTGTTTATGGAAGGCTGAGCAAGTCACATGCAGGGAGGTGTGACTAGGGTTCATAAACAAAGGGATTTAACTCCTAAATGGCAGAGGATTGAGCAGTGAGGCTGCAGGGGCATATTCTATACACCAAAACTGCTTCATTAAGCTAAAGTTGTTCAGGTGACTATAGTTTCCCTTTAATGTAGTTTTTCTGATGCAAACAAGCATTCCCTTCAGGCATTTTTATGTAAATACTGCCTTTTCATAGAAAAAGTAATGTTTACATTAGCCCCCTAGGGACACCTTCAGTGGCCACTCCTCCGATAGCCACTAGAGGTGCTTCCTGGGCCAGTGCTGCACACTGTACAGCACTGCGATTCAGCATCTCCATGCTCTGCATGGAGACACTGAACTTTACTCATAGAGATGCATTGATTCAATGCATCTCTATGAGGAGGTGCTGATTGGCCAAGCCGTGTTTGGCCATGCCCCAGTCCCACCTCCTTGCCAATTTCAGCCTATCCAATGCTTTTCCCATGGGAAAGTATTAGATTGGCCGAAATTATTTCATTCTGATTATGTCAGCAAGGAGGTGGATCGGGGCGGGGCCATTGCCGGAAGACCCGCAGGGTGCTGGAAATAAGGTAAGTTATATTACTTTTTAAAAGGGGGCAAGCCATCTAAATGGTGTTTTAACACTATAGGGTCAGGAATACATGTCTGTGTTTCTGACCCTATAGTGTACCTATTAACATGTGAGACCAGCTATAGAACAAACTCTAGTGAGGGCAAGCACAAAGGTTGATACTGATACTGTGCCTGAATACCAAGGGCACATACAGAGTCAAGAATAGGCATTCAAGAAAATAGAAAAGGTAGTAAATTATCAAACATTGAGTAACATATTAAAACAGTTGTCTCCTGTAAAATTCCTACTGGAAAAAAAGTTATATTTCATGTACTCACTGGCACCTTTTTCTTCTTTGTAGTTTTAAAGATCACTCTACTCATCTTACTTTTTGCTCCAAAGATTCTGTTCCTACAGCTTTCATTTTAAACAATTTTCATTCCAGAGATAAATACATTTCCTGGCTATCCATGGCAGCATTGACAATCAGTAGCACTTTCCTTATAGGGCAGGCTAAGATTTTATATTACAGGAAGGACTCCCCAAAGGAAGAACCATAGTTATGTGCTTGTTCTGTTACTGAAAAGGACAGAGGCCATTTGTAGATCATCATGTGGATACAAACCTCAACAAATTATTTGGCAGTAGCTGCAAGTCATCCAGATGTAGCAGTACCAGTAGTAGGAAGAGCCAGGGCCGCCATCGGGGGTGACAACCATGGCGGTTGTCACGGGCCCGGCGGTCCTGGGGGGCCCAGATTGCTTTAGAGAGCCGGGGGCCCCACCATGCCACTGGACCACCGGGGATGGAATCTTTCCCCCTCCCTGAACCAGGTAAGAAACAGGGAGGGGGGAATATCTTTCATTACATTACATGCATACACTAGTAAACACACACACACACACACTCTGCATTCATTACACTAACACACACACTGCATTCACTGCACTTACACACATTCTGCATTCATTACACTAACACACACACTACATTCACTACACTAACCCACACTCTGCATTTACTACACTGACACACACTCTGCATCCATTACACTAACACACACACAAACACCTTGGACAGGCTGTGGTAAGTGCTGGAGCAGCAGTGTGAAACTTCTTCACCATAGGAGCATAAGCTGTATGGTTAAGTGGAACTTACAGTATCATTAAAAGACACAACCATTTTATTCTAACTACACTAACTATAAGAACTAAAAAGCTACGTAGAATGCCTCTTTATTTCATCTCTCTTTTGCCACAACTATGTGGCTGATGCCCTTCAGGCACAGTGAGCAAGGGATCAACAACTAGAAATATTCTATGTAGTTAAAGAAGCCAGAGAAGAAGCAAATAAACCAAAACCAATATGCATGAACAATGAGAATGGACAAAAACTCAATAGATTTCCTTAAAGCAAGCTCATACACTCATCAGCTACAACATTAAAACCCTTTCCCTGATATCATATAGGTCTCCCTCGTGCTACCAAAACAGCTCTGATACATTGAGGCACGGACTCCACAAAACTTCTGAACATTTCTTGTGTTATCTCGCACCAAGTAATTAGCAGCAGACCCTGCATGGCGAGGTGGGGCTTTCATGGATCGGATTTGTTGGTCCAGCAGATCCCATAGATTCTCAAACGGCTTCAGATCTGAAGATTTGTAGGTCAAGGCAACGCCTTAAACTCTGGTTTCATATTCCTCAAATCGTTTCTGAACAATTTTTGCAGTGTGGGTGAATTATCCTGCTGAAAGATACCACTACCATCAGGGAATACCAATGCTATAAAGGGGTGCACGAAGTCTGGAGCAATCTCTAAGTAGGTGATACGTGTAAAGGTAACATACACATGAATGCCAGAACTTAAAGTTTCCCAACAGAACATTGCACAGAGCAAGCTGCCTTCCAATAGAGCATCCTGCTGCCATCTCTTTCCCAGGTAAATGACTCACACCCACCCGGCTAACCACGTGATCTTAAAGGAAATCTTCTTCCATTGATCCATGGTCCAGTTCTAACAATTACGTCCCAATTGAAGGCACTTTCAGCAGTTTACAGAGGTCATCATGGGCACTCTGACACATCTGAACCTGCTGTACTGGTTATGGCACCAGGAGAGCCCTAGCGGCATCCCCTGGCAAGATGTTGAAACATTTCATAACGATTTAACAACTTACTAGCGACTGTATCCAATGCAATGAGACTTTACCAGCAAGAGAATTTTCATTGGCTTATAGAAGCAAACAGGACAATACTCATTGGCTGAAAAGGCCAGCTGAGCACGCTTACCTAACGAGCACAGTCCTACATAGGCCATGCTTTATTTTCGAGAGATATTTAGTTTCTCCTATTGGAGATGATGAATGTAGAAAACGCAGCATTACTGGCTACAGCTCCTACTCTCTCTGGCACTCATATATTGCATGTGTCTGTTTGCCATCTAAGGCTACTTTCTTACTTTTTTACATTTTACATATTACATACGGTATGTACTTGTATACTTTCACTGTAATGATTTTGAGGAATGCCTGTAAGAGGATAGAGAGAGTAGGGTGGCTTTTGGGTGGATACAGTGAGGTAAGTTTAGATTCTTATTGTGTATCATAAAGTTTAATCAGATACTATATGGATATTTTACATCATATTGTGTCTTAGTTTAGATACTTTTCAAAATGTATTTTATTGGAGGACAATAATATTGCCTGGAATGGAGTATGCTTTAGGGGTTTAGTTATGTTATATCGGGTTCTCTTATTTAGGTTTATATGATCATTTCATGTCTATGTGTTCATTTCATATCTATTATTCTATATTGAACATTTGCTACATATATAAAGAAAGTTGTGAGTCACTGAATGCTCAGTATTAAATACTCTGCAATATGTTGAATGCTGTTTATGTGCTAAATTTGTATTGTGCTATATCAATTTATGAAAACTGGGAGGTTTTTAATGTTATGATTTTTGGATATGTTTGTTTCACATGTTCTTTAATTTAATAATTGTAACATTAATGTGTATATATCTGGTATTTTTTGTTTATTTTCTGAAATTTTCATATACAATTTCCCTTTCTTCTTGCTGAGTGGATTTCTTATTTTATTTTGTTTTTTATCATATCCATCTTGGAACTTTCTATGAGATGGGCATGACTTTGATTTCCAGGTGCCGGTTATTTTCTCATTTACCAGGCGATAAAAGGACAGGGAATCTGTTGGTCTGGGTAATCTTGATACAGTGTCAATAGACATGAAACATGTTGATTGAAAGGAGCTGATGCAGTTGGAAGCTCGTTTATTTTTAATAATTTCTAAAAAAAATAATTTTTTTTTTACTTTTACAGAACGAGCAGTGGCAGACTTATAGTGAAACCTTTTTTTTTTCTTTTTGATGATTGCATTCAAGTTTCTGGATTGACTATCTGGTGGGGATTCACAAACTTGAACATTATTGTGACATATTCTGATAGATCCAGATTATGGTGAAAATGTGGAAATTTATAATTCAAATCTATATGTGGAAGATATTTTCCCTTTTTCATGTTTTTTACTTTTGTTTTTTGAACTTTGAATGCAGCCACCTAAACCAAGTAAGTTACCAAAGGATTGCGCCAGGGCACCCTGGTACCATAGTCACTCCAGTGGGCTGTGGTGGATATAGTGCTTAAAATGTTTCTTTACACAATTTTGTTTTAGAAATGGAGTGTGGATTATACTTACTATATACAACTTTAATGTTAGACCAAGGCATTGGTGCTTCAATTAATAATCTTGTAATTGCTAGTTCAAAAATTACGGTCTTTCCAGATCCAGTTGGAGCACAAATAACAAAGTTTTTATCTGAATAAAGAAGCTGCAAGAAATTTCTCAGAACATGTAAAACAATGTTCAAATTTACAAATTCATTGGTTAATAAAGGCTTAAATAAAACTTAGTTTTAGTATAATATATACAGATCTCAAAATTGAAGATTATACTAGCTTTGGTGTACTAATAATATTACTTTTAGTAATGACAGGAGGTGAGTATTTTGCATAATCTCTCCTTACTAGCTCCACAGCAGCAAAGAAACACATAGAAAAAAAAAACAATCACAAGAGAGTAGGATGTACATGAGGTATATTGACCTAAGCACTACTTCTTTCAGACAGCGACCTCAAGCAGTAGCAAACATATAACAATCAATAACAATAACTCCTAAATCCAACATCCCAAGGAGCAAACTTCCAGAGAATTCCACATGAACAACCAAAACGTCTTCAGGGATGAATCAAACTGAAAAGAGATTGTGTGACAGGTTTAGACACATAGTCATGAATGTGCAAATCCAAGTAACACACAGTATACATCACTTCATAGTAGTAATTTGTAAACTACAATCTGATAACTGAACAACAATTATATAAAACTCCAATGACAATTCCAAGCCAATGGAAATAAAATCATCAATGTAAACACAAAATATTAAGAGTGGGCTATCTATCTTAGACCGGTGAAACATATAAAGAAAGTGAACAAAAAGGGTGGGAGAGCAAAGCAGGGTGGGAAAATACTCGCTTCCTGTCATTACTAAAATTAAGATTATTAGTACACTAAAGCTAGTATAATCTTCAATTTTACAACATGACAGGAGGCTTCATATTTTGCCATTTTAACGCTGAGAAAGGAATAGAAAACCAAGGAAGAATCCGAACAGTGCTATAAGAGACTTAGATAGTAACCCTGTCCGGAAAAAAGGAAAAAACATCCACGTCAAACCCCGAACATCCGATACATGATGGAATAACACTATACCAAGCATAACGTAAACTTGGCCGACAACAAACAGAGATAGTCCCGTGGAAAACTGAGAACAATCTCCACATCTCATAAGCTGGAGGTGGATGTCACAGAGTAATTGGCACACAAGAAGATCCTTGCCCACCGGGAGTCCCCAGACTGGGACATGGGCCGTTGAACTGGCTGAACTTACCACAATAATGGATCAAGGTTTCGTTCTAAACACCAACCAGACCGGGAATGCCCAGATGGAGGGGTAGCATTGTCACAGAAAGAGTCCAGGCCAGGGCTCGGGTCCTGCAGGAACGCATGGGAATGGCGTTCCTGGACTTTTTCCACAGCAGGAATGTCGTTCCCATTAGTAGTCCTGCAGAACCTGCCCTTTGGATCAGCAGAGTGATTGTCCCCATGACGTTCTAGAACCACTGTGGTAGAACCACCACATTCTACACTCCATTCCACTAGTTCTCATTCAGCAGGAGCCCTCCCTCCTCTGTCACCCAGGCAAGTGCCCGCCGTGCGCCCCCCTGCTCCAAGGAGTATGCTGTACGGGCTGAGCATACTCACTGTGTGAGCAGCCAAACACATGGTAACTGCAAGCACTGCTGGCCTGCAGCCCAGAGGGGACTTCTTCTATTACTTTGCCTATGGGAGTAACCTGTTAAAAGAGAGGATTCTTCTGGACAACCCGGCTGCATCCTTTCCCACCATAGCCCTACTAAAGGTGCTTACTATACTTTTCTACTATAAAGGCTGGTAGAAAGCTGGAACACAACTCCCATCACTGACAGATAGACAGCCACAGGTTGCTTGGAAATGCTTCTTCTTGTAGTCATAGGACTCTTTTAATGAAAATCAATGCAATTTCAAGGGGAATTTTTTTTTTTTTTTTTAGCCAGTGCCATGATGTAATGTGGATTTATTACACTTGTACTGAGGAAGAGGTGATTAAGTAATTCACGTGCATTATTTTTTTATTCATTTTTTTTTTATATTGATTTCAGTAGTGATGTGGAAATATTACGGTGGCAGCTGTAAACACATACAGTTTGTAAGATGGTGTAGAAATGGCACTAGTCTGAAATTATTACAATGTGGAATAATATTGGTGGCCTGCTTTTTAGGACCAAGTGGCTGTCTTCTTTAGGAGGGTTGAGTGCAATATTACAATACATATCTACAGGATCAGCAATATGTGGGGATACCAAAAGGGTGTCAAAGGGACAACTATGTCTTGTGCTTATTTATATTTTAAAATCTAATATTGGATAGAGAAAAATATAATGGAGTAACAGTTGCATAGGTGCAAGTCAAATGACATTGCATTACAGCTTTTTAATTTTTTTTTCTTTATTTTTTTTGTTCATAAATTGACAACAAGCGTGCAGAGCCACGACCTCATCTACAGGCATATTCATAACATTTTAAAGTGTAGCATTTTAGACAGCACATTTTATGTAACGTAAGGACAACATGCTATTAGGCACCAGTATTTTATAATACAACATGCTAGGCTAGATATGCGTATATCAAAACTAGTTGCGTTTAAGATTGTAAGTATGTCGCTTTGTATGTAGTGTGACAAATAGGCATTGAGAGCACAGTAAGTAGTGACAGGTTATTAAACTCGCATAGGTGGCAATATACTGTGCTATGCTAAGAGGGTTTGTATGTATAGACGCTGGTACCAATGATAATCTGCTATTACTATATCACCCATCTGGGAGGCGGGTCGGAGGCTTTGCTGGTAGTGATGGGCTTGTGCTTAACCAATGCCTGATCTGCCATGTCGGCATAATCGGGTACAAGTGTCCGCTGATGCAGGGGTTTGGGTCGTGCCTCTCTGTGTTCCTTGTGGTGTTTTTTGGGCTGATTTCCTATCCGGCCAAGTGTACCTCTTCTGGGCATTTATTAGGCTCTTCCCTGGGCTGCCGTGTTGCAAGGTGTGTGTGGGGTGAGTACGTGTTCGGCCCCGTTGTGGAAGTACCTCGCTCAGCTGCGGGATCTGTAGTCATTGGCAAGGGTAGATCTTGTGTGGTGTGGCAGTCTGCCAGCACAGCAGCCAGTGTGGGTCCTGCTAGGTCTCTGCCGCTGCTCGCCTGTGCCGTGGCTTGTGGAATGGACGGGTGAGCAGTCGCTTGTGTGGCTGAGGTGTAGGTTAGGCAGGTCATAGGTTCTTCTAGACCCCTGGGCCCATGTTTGGTTGCCCTGAGCTTTGTGAGAGAGCAGACCCTTCTGCCGATTCCGGCATTTTAGGTGTTGCGCTCGGGCCCTCGAGTGGGATGGTATCGTCTTCAGGCTCCAGCTGTATAGCATCTGGGTGAGGACCGGGATCACCCCCGCTGGTCCATGGGGGTGGGGGAACAGGGCCAGGCCCGCCCGGGTCTTGGTTTCCATCTGGGCACCATGAGGCCGGATAGTGGGGCAGCGGCCGTCCACCCCTCTCACCGCCGGCTTAGGCCCCACCTTAGTCATCGGGGGCTTCACCTCATGGGGACTGGAGCTCGAGGAGCCAGCCTCTCCCTGGATCCGGTATCCTCGTGGCATTAAAGACCCTCATTGACGGTCAGTTTTAAAGTCGTTTTCAGTGTTTAATACGCTTAATTGTGGTTGAGTTACAGGAGCTGAACTTGTTTGTGACCGTCCAGCTCGGCGGTCTGGCCCCGCCCCCTGCAAGACAGTTTTTATGATAATTATGCAACTTGAAGGAAAGTAGTAGCAGGCAAGAAATAATAGAAAGATTTAGCTAATCTCAGGTGATTGGCAGAGGGAATTGGTACAATTCGTTCTATGGAGAAAATTGATTTACTTCTGTGGAACTTGTCCAGGGATTAGCAACCTATGGCATTCGAGGTGCCTTTACACAAAACGGAAAGCTGCCAGACCCAAACTGGCTGGGGAGATAGGAGGATCTCCTTAAAAGTGTCCTAACAGGAGTCACAGTGGGACATCTTCTGGTATATATTGGCTAGTAAGAGTGGTGGTAATGTCCCTGCCTTAGAACTGGGAAACTGGGTTTGATTCCTGGTCAGATAACCTCACCAGTAAGTGTCCCAGGGCAAGAAGCATGATGAGATATATCCACCTCCCTTAAATCTTCACAGATTGTAAGCTTAAGAAGGGCTTCTTTCACATCTGTTAATATTCTGAATGTCAATCACTTGTCGAAAATATCCCCTTTATATAATTGTAAAGCTCTGCGATCTCAGATCACTTCCTCCCAGTGCTTGTGAAGGGGAATCTGCTCTTGAGAAGTGCAGTCCACAGTCTACCACAGCCTGGACTCCACTGGAACCCAGGGAAGCCCCCACATCTCCAGACATAGATACACAAATAATACTAACGACACACAACCCCGCATGGATCTTGGGTGAGCTCCCACACTTTTTCTCCCAGGATTTGACCCCTGGTCCAGGCCACAAGGGGAGCCGACCATCCAGGAGTAGTAGATGTGGGTTTCCCTTCCGGCCCGTGAGAAGCATCGGGTATGAAGACAGGAGGAGGAGATCCTCACCGGACAGTCCCCAAATGTCTAGGAACCAAGGTTGGCTCCATCACAGTGGGGTGACCAAGGTCAGTGTTACTCACTGAACACAGAGGTGATGGAGAACTCTCACAATTATTGCAAAGGAGGGAAAAGCGTATGATCCCAGGGGAGGCCCAGCCTTCAGGAATGCTTCCACCATCGTGCACTCTGGATCTGGCAGCCAATTAAATAACGCTGAAGTCTGGTGAACCCTCTAAAGGTGGGAGAACCAATCTGTGGTGAGATGTGTCACCTCCAAGAGGTATTCCACTCTCAGGGGGATCCTGCGAGAGAGGCAGAAATCGAAGATGCCTTTTTTGTGATAGGAGACAGGAGCATGCTCCATCCAGGCGATTGATATACCGGACTGCCGACGCTCTGTTCATCCAGAGTAAGATTCAACAAAAAGAGTACTCCTTCATCAGGCGGCGGATAGTGAAGGATCCCGTTAAGAGTTCCAGGCAGTCAATGATAAGGGATAATTCCTGAGTTGTGCACACGCCTTCTGTGGGTGCCCTCTCACAGGTTTTTTCCGCAGCCCCATATGCCAGTATTCGACTCCAGAACGAAGTCCGGTTGGTCGTAGGTGCTGCATATCCCGGTAAAGTAGCAGGCCCGGGAAGATAGTCTGGATGGAGGAGGACAGTAGCCCACGATCCGTGTGTGGAGGTACACAGTGTTGCAGCGGAGGACCTTGTGAATTTAATTGAGTATTGAGAGGACCTTTTAAGGAGGAAGTTTCAGGATGCAAGACACAGAGTCAATTACGAATCCTAAGAAGTGGACCATCCAGGAAGGGCCATCGCAGACTCCTGTCGACTCACTATGAAGTCCAATGATTCCAGCTGGACCACAGAGAATCACAAATGTTAGATTCTAGACTCATAGTCTAGACCCCTCGGAACCGAACATAAGGAGATCGTCCAGGTAAATAATGCAACTCAACACCCTGGCCCATACATGAGCGATCATTGGATTCAGTAGTGTCGTGAAGCACCAAGGATCTAAAGGAGGCAGGTGAAGTGCCAAGGTTCACCGCGTCACAGGGAACAGAGATATCGTCAACAAGAATGGTGGAAAGGGATCGAGGGATCGACGTGTCCTCATGTCCAGTTTCGCAAATCAGTCCACTACGTGACAAAGATACCTTTAAAGTTGGAGGGCAGTGTATTAGATTGGGGAGGGGCAGTTTATTAGAGTGGTGGGGGCGGGGCCAGGGGAGGCTGTGTATTAGTTTGGGGGGGCAGTGTATTAGAGGCGGGGTAGTGTATAAAAGTGGAGGGGGGCAGTGTATTAGATTTGTGTGTGAACAATGTATTGGATTTGTGGGCAGTCTATTAGATGGGGGGCAGTGTACTAGAATAGGTGAAGGGGCAGTGTATTAGATTGGGTCTGCATGGAAGTGCTGGACGCTTCTCATGGAGCTGCTGATTAGCCGCACAGCTTTTTGCCGCACAATAGCCTCCAAATGCTTTCCTATGGGAGAGCATTGAATTTGCTGAGATCATCAAGTTTGATCAAACTGAAGAACACACTCATAGGACATCAAAATAAACAAGATAACGTAATTTTCTTTTTTTTAACAGCTGTGCAACAGTATACATCCACCATTTCTGTCCCATTACGGAGCTTTTCTTAATATGTTAAGGTAGTTGGACTGAAACATTGTTTGTATGCAAATGCCTGTCTCCTTAAAATAAATTTGCTCTTTTGTTTACTTTGAAGCCCTACAAGCGTGAGGATGTCAAGTGTCAGTTAGGCAACTTTTTTTATACTAGACTTTTCAAAATAAACCTATGTTTCTATGAAAACTGAAGTTTGTTTTGAGGCCCACATAAGTTTAAACCTTGTTTATTTGGCCTTTGTTAACCTTTGAGTTTGACATGCTTGATCTACCGCTGCTTGTATCATGACCTGAAAATCCACAGGCTAGCCAGGGAATTTTCCATAGTGGCAACTCGTGTGACACAGAATTGGGACTCACCCAAAAAAGTAAACAGATGGATTTATCATGATATTGGACACACTTGTAGAAGGCACAAATTAATAGGCAATTGCAGGATGCAGGGCAAACAGACCAGACTACAATACTAGCAAGCAATGTTTACAGAAACCCCACAGGGTTGTAATCTTAACAGTGGCCAAATAAAATAGACTGGCTCACCCAGTAAACAGAGGCTGCAACAGCATGCTCCACTCAGCAGCACAGTGCAGCACACATATAGTAGGGGCCTCACCCCATGTGAAGAGGGTATGAACCCTTAAGTGCTGACCACAGCCCTGACAGAGAGCACTAATCTGTGCTCAAACAGTTAATTCAAGGTTATGGGAGATATTCCTTTAAGGAATGTCCTGGAAATCTTGTCCAGCAGTTAACAGAGGCTGTACCAGCATGTCTCCATACAGTAGCACAGTGTAGTATAATTATAGTAGGGGCTTCATCCCAGGTGCACAGGGTATGAACACTTCAGTGCAGGCCACAGCCCTGATAGAGAGCACCAATCTGTGCTCAAATGGTTAATTCAAGGTTATGGGAGATATTCCTTTAAGGACACATGACATGTGTGACATGTCATGATTCCCTTTTATTCCAGAAGTTTGGTCCTTAAGGGGTTAAGCAGTATGTCCTGGAAATCATGTCCAGCAGTTAACATAGGCTGTAGCAGCATGTCTCCACTGAATAGCACAGTATAGTAAAATGTATAGAAGGGGGGTTCACCCCAGGTGCACAGGTTATGAACCCTTGAGTGCTGGCCACAGCTCTGACAGAGAGCACTAATATGTGCTGAAGCAGTTAATTCGAGGTTATGGGAGATTGGTAGATAGTCCTTTAAGCAGCATGTCCTGGAAATCCTGTCCAGCAGTCAGGGCCAGACTGGGGATACAAAGCAGCCCTGGAAAAAACATATATGCCAGCCCCGCAGCAAGGCGTGGGAGAAATAAAAGGTGAGTAAAAACACTATTTTTAAACATATACGACAGATGACAGACACACACACTCCATGACAGACACACACACACACACACACCTTGACAGACACACACACACCATGACAGACACACACGTCATGACAGACACACACACACCATGACAGACACACACACACCATGACACAGACAGACCATGACACAGACACACACACACACACCATGACACAGACAGACACACACACACATCATGATACAGACACACACCATGACACAGACACACACCATGACACACATCATGACACAGACACACACCCTGACAGACACACACACCATGACAGACAGGCACAGACTATGACAGACAGGCACAGACCATGACAGACAGGCACAGACCATGACACAGACACACACACACTGATCGACTGACACATAATATATCTACCTGTGGGCGAACGGACAGGAGTCTTGCAGTGCAGACAGCTGGGTCAGGTGTGCTGGAGGCCGCAAGGGGAGCTGGCAGTACCGGCGGCCGCAGGGCGGAGCTGGCTCCTTTCTGTTCCAGCGCCTGCAGGGGGGAGCTGGCTGTGCTGGCTCTTCTCCCCAGCGCGCAGCTTAATGAGACCGGATATTCCGGCCCCGGTCTCATTAAGAAGCGTTCAGGGGTGGGGGAGCAGAGCCAGCACAGCCAGCTCCCCTTGCGGCCGCAGGTCAGCCAGCTCCCCCTGCGGCCCCAGGTGCCGATGGCCCACCAGGAAATTTCCCGGTATCCCGGTGGGCCAGTCCGGCCCTGCCAGCAGTTAACAGAGGCTGCAACATTCTCAATTCAGTAGCACAGTGCAGTAAAAACATAAAAAAAATGTGCAGTAGATAAGTTGGCGCAAAAAATTAAGATAAAATATAAATAGGATTGCAGCACCCACAATATACCCAGGTAATAAGGTACAGAAACCATCACAAAACAGAAAAGTGCTGGTGGGCATAAATATGTATAGAACCCCTCAAGTGTTGAGAAGTATTTTCAGATGATACAGTGCAAGTAAGTGTGATCACAGCAGTACAAATATAGTATGGGGCTCACCCCTTGAGTGCAGGTCACAGTCGTCACAGACAGCACTAATCCATGCTCTAATACAAGCATGTCAAACTTGCGGCCCACTGGCCGCATGCACCCCACAATGGGTATCTTTGCGGCCCGGCGAGCCGTGAGTACATGCTTAGTGTTAAAGCAGAGTAGGCACCTGCTTTTCCCACATTGCAGGTGCCTACTCTGCTAAAACTTACCCGGGCGGGGAGGAGGGCCAGCGAGGGAGCTCAGTGTTCTTGCTCCTCATTGCTCCCTCGCACGCGGCTTCTGTAGTGAAGCCGATCGCTGGAATATGACGTCATATTCCGGCACCCGGCATCACTAAACCGCGCAAGGAGCAGTAAGGAGCAGATAGAAGATCCCCACTGGACCCCAGGGCGGGGCCCCACATCAGCTCCAAAAGGTAGGGAGCAATAAATAAAATGATGTGTGTGCAAGAATGTGTAAATGTGTGTGTGTCTGTCTGTGAGTGTCTGTCAGTGTCTGTGTCTGCCAGTGAGTGTGTGTGTCTGTGTGTGTCAGTGAGTGTGTGTCTGTCTGTGTGTGTGTGTGTGTGTGTGTGTGTCAGTGAGTGTCTGTGGGTGTCAGTGAGTGTGTCTGTGTGTCTGTCAGTGAGTGTATGTGTGTGTCTGTCTGTGTCTGTGTGTCTGTCTGTGAGTGAGTGTGTGTGTGTCTTTCCGTCAGTGTCTGTGTGAGTGAGTGTGTGTGTTTGTCAGTGAGTGTTTGTGTGTTGGTCAGTGTTGCATTGGCTGTGACTGGACAGTAGAGTACCTGGAGGTGCATGGAGTCACGCAACGCCACATCACATTCCGACGTGACATCGACGTGCTCCACCTTCACAAAAAGTAGTGGGAGGATCAGATTTGGCACAGGGTGCGGACTGCGCCAATTGAGGTATACCAGAGGCCGGACTCCGGGGTCACATACTGGCAGCGCAATGTGAGTGGAGTCTGCTTGTTGGCTAGAGGGGGGTGCTGGGATTTAGTAGAGGGGAAGGACGGGGATTTAGTATATGGAGGGGACTGGAATCTAGTAAAGGGGGGGACTGGGATTTAGTAGAGGGGGTGCTGTGGTTTAATAGAGGGGGTCTGGGATTTAGTAGAGGGGATGCTGTGGTTTAGTAGAGGGGGATGCAGGATGCTGTTTTTTTTTTTTTTTTTATGCTGTACTTTTCAAAATAAACCTACGTTTCAATGAAAATTTAAGGTTTCGGGTTTTTTTGCGGCCCACATAAACTTAAACCTTGTTTATGTGACCCATGCTAGACTTTGAGTTTGACATGCTTGCTCTAATAGTTAATACAAGGTTATGTGCGAAATCCCTTTAAACAGCATATATAAATGGCCTAATTCAACATTAACATGCAACCCAAGTAAGATCCAAAAGCCTCTCAAGCCCCAGAGAAGTGAGAGCAAGAAGGGGAGAGGGCAGAAACCAAGAATAATGTAGGAACACAACAACTAACAGAAAAACACAGATGCACACAGTACAGAAGCACAGCAAGAACAAACAGCAAAGTATATAAAAAGTATAATACAGAAACAACCTCAAAAAAGCAATAGAAACATAAAATAATGGAGAAGAGTAATACTTGATGCCTGCTTGATGGAGCAGCAAAGAAAGAGGAAGTGATTAGGTCACTATACCTCATGTACATCCTACTCTCTTGTGATTGTTTTTTTTTCTATGTGTTTCTTTGCTGCTGTGGAGCTAGCAAGGGGAGATTATGCAAAATATGAAGCCTCCTGTCATGTTGTAAAATTTAAATGCTACAAGCTAGGTCTAAAAGTTACTTGACACTACAACTCTTAACCTGTAATGCGACTGCTGAGAATAGTGCGCTCCCAGAATAAGTTGTCAAATCATTTAAGAGCGGATTGACATCTTACCTGTGTCCCCCTGAGCTTGGCATGGCTCAACTGATGCTCTCATCCAATAAAAACAGCCCTGCATAACACTGCTTAGCTCAGTGGAGCTAACCATATTCTTCCTGTGGGAGAATCTGGAAGTAGGTCTGCAACCACAGGTGCAGAGGTAAGTTATCAAACTGTTCTTAAACGGTTGGCTACTTTCTCTGTGTAGACACCAAAGCACTCCTAGGAACCATAACCCCTACAGTGGGCTGCACTGGTTATGATGTTTGGAGTGTTCCTTTAACACAAGTGACATCCACTTATACTTACTATATATCATAAAAATACAGTACGAATTAAAACCAAGGTAGCTTTATCAAATGTACTAATATGGCTAATTAAGTGGATATCAAGAGTTTAAAAATATTTGTAAAAGTTCTTATATGAAAATTCAACACTTTAAATTATTATAATAAAATGCTTTTCATCCCAAAGGGTCTCAAAAAAGCAACATTTTTTCCTCCCTGAAGGGCACCAAGTAACAAATTGATTCTCGTTAAGTCATAATATTACAAATGTGTTGTTTCTGTTAAATAGGCCCAATTTAGACTTCCATTGTAATGCAGATTTATAATAAATTAATTATGACAGTGTCCTAGATTTTAGTGTAAAAGATAATGAGAATAAAAAGCATTACTTACATCGTCTAAGGCTTTAGACTGTATATAATTAAAATAAGGGAACTCTTTGAAAATGTTCCTAAACTGTTTAGCTTGTTTATTGTTTATAAGAAAAACATTAAAAAAATAATGAAACAAACAAAATAAACCAATAAATATACTGATAACTGATAACCATACAAATGTTCCATCTCTCTGGACTCTTAGTCATGCAAAGTATATCTTGCAGCAGCTTGAAGGCAGGAATCATCTAACCCTAAACCTCCCTAGCAATAACTCCTAATGCTAGACCCCATGGTAAAAACTACTACAATGCAGCACTCTTAAGAAGAAAAAAAAATACATTTCAGCATTGTTCATATGAAGGTTGGTATTTATACAGTTGTGCTCAAAAGTTTGCATACCCTGGCAGAAATTGTGGCATTGATTTTGAAAATATGACTGATCATGCAAAAAAAAAATGTATTTTATTCAAGGATAGTGATCATATGCAGGGCCAGACTGGCCCACCGGGATACCGGGAAATTTCCCGGTGGGCCGCGGCACCTGGGGCCGGTCTGACAGCCCTGATCATTGGGCTGACAGCTCCTGTGATCCCGGCGGCCGTGTGTGAGCTGTGCGGCCGCACAGAGCCCCATGGGAGCAGGGGAAGCCAGGCGGCCGGCTCACACATGGCGCCCGGGATCATTTAAAAAAATAAAAAAATAAATATTTGCGGCGGGGGCGGAGCTTACTGTGCGGCGGGGGCGGGGCTTAGCTTGCGGCGGAGGCGGAGCTTACTGCGCGGCGGGGACGGCTAATTGCAGCATGGGAAGCAGGAAGGAGTCCCTGCTTCCCCAACAACCAGTCTCCAGGAGCTCCAAGCAGGAGGTAAGAAAGAGGTCAGTGTGTGTGTGTGTGTGTGTGACTGTCTGTGAGTGTGTGACTGTCTGTGAGTGTGTGTGTGTGTGACTGTGACTGTCTGTGAGTGTGTGACTGTCTGTGTGTGTGTGTGACTGTGACTGTCTGTGAGTGTGTGACTGTCTGTGTGTGTGTGTGACTGTCTGTGAGTGTGACTGTGACTGTCTGTGAGTGTGTGACTGTCTGTGAGTGTGTGTGTGCGTGACTGCACTATCCGGGGTGAGTGCGTGACCGTGTGTGTGTGCGTGCGGATCAGACTGTCTGTGAGCGTGTGACCGTCCGTGAGCGTGCGACCGTCCGCAGCGTGCGTGCGTGCGTGACCGTGACCGTTCGTGGCGTGACTGTCTGTGTGTGTGTGCGGACTGCGACTGTCTGTGAGTGTGCGACTGTCTGTATGTGACTGTCTGTGTGTGCGTGTGTGACTGTGACTGTCTGGTGAGTGTGTGACTGTCTGTGGCGTGTGACTGTCTGTGTGTGTGTGTGACTGCGGGACTGTGTGTGACTGTGACTGTCTGTGAGTGTGTGACTGTATGTGTGTGTGTGTGACTGTGACTGTCTGTGAGTGTGTGACTGTCTGTGAGTGTGTGACTGTGTGTGTGACTGTGACTGTCTGTGAGTGTGTGACTGTGTGTGTGTGACTGTTAGTGTGTGTTTGTGTGTGACTGTCTGTGTGTGCGTGTGACTGTGCGTGTGACTGCCTGTGTGTGCGTGTGACTGCCTGTGTGTGTGTGTGACTGTCTATGTGTCTGTCTGCCTGTGTATGTTACTGTCTGTGTGTGTGTGACTGTCTGTGTGTGTCTGTCTGTCTGTGTGACTGTGTGTGTGTGTGTGACTGTGTGTGTGTAACTGTCTGCCTGTGTGTGTGTGTGGCTGTCTGCATGTGTGTGTGTGTGTGTGACTGTCTGCCTGTCTGTATGTGTAGATGTTTGCCTCGGTGTCAGTGACTGTCTGCCTCTGTGTGTGTGTGCGCACCTGCTAGTGAGGGAGCCTCTGTGTGTGTGTGCTTGCTAGTGAGTGAGCTTGTATGTGTGTCAGTGAGCTTGTCTGTAGGGATCATATGTGTGTGTGTTAGTGAGCTCTTGTCTGTAAGGAGCATGGGTGTGATCGTGGGCTTGTCTGTAGTGAGCGTGTGTGTCAGTGAGCTTCTCTGTAGTAAGCGTGTGTGTCAGTGAACGTGTGTGTCAGTGAGCTTGTCTGTAGTGACCATATGTGTCAGTGAGCTTGTCTGTAGTGACCGTGTGTGTCAGTGAGCTTGTCTGTAGTGAGCATGTGTGTGTCAGTGAGCTTGTCTGTAGTGAATCTGTGTTAGTGAGCTCTTCTGTAGGGAGCATGTGTGTGTCAATGGGCTTGTCTGTAGGGAGAGTGTGTGCGCATCAGTGAGCTTGTCTGTATTGAGCGTGTGTGTGACAGTGAGCTTGTCTGTAGTAAGCTTGTGTGTGTATCAGAGTTTGTCTGTACTAAATTTGTGTGTCTGCCAGTAACCTTGTCTGTGTGTGTCATTGAGATTGTCTGTCAATGAGCCTATTTGTATGCATCAGTAAGATTGTCTGTGTCTGTGTGTGAGTATGCTTTACTGTATAATTTAATTACCCTGAAAGGACTAATATTTTGAATTAGAAGAAGAAATGTATCAATAATATATATATATATATATATACACATTAAAGGTCCACTCTAGGCACCCAGAGCACTTCAGCTTAATGAAGTGATCTGGGTGCCTGGTCCAGCCATGGTTAACCCATTTTTTCATAAACATAGCAGTTTCAGAGTGCTATGTTTATTAATGGGTTAAGCCTTCCCCTATTTCCTCTAGTGGCTGTCTCATTGACAGCCACTAGAGGCGCTTGCGTGCTTCTCACTGTGATTTTCACAGTGAGAGCACGCCAGCGTCCATAGGAAAGCATTGATAATGATTACCTATGTGACCGGCTGAATGCGCGCGCAGCTCTTGCCGCGCGTGCGCATTCAGCCGACGGGGAGGAGAGAAGGAGGATCGGAGGTGGAGCTCCCCGCCCAGCGCTGGAAAAAGGTAAGTTTTTCCCCCTTTCCCCTTCCAGAGCCGGGCGGGAGGGGGACCCTGAGGGTGGGGGCACCCTCAGGGCACTATAGTGGTCCTTTAATATATAACATCCTACATAGCACAATGACTTATGGGGCTGGCATAGATTTTTTTCCAGGGCTGCTTCGTATCCCCAGTCCGGCCCTGATCATATGAAGCCATTTAATATCACATAGTTGTTTGGCTCCTTTTTAAATCATGATAATCGAAATTACCCAAATAGAAATTAAGGTTAATTTCACATACCTGTAGCTTTTTAAATTGCAATTAGTGTATGTGTATAAATAGTCAATGAGTTTGTTAGCTCTCACATGGATGCACTGAGCAGATAGATACTGAGCAATGGGAAGAAAAAAAAAACTGCCAAAAGACCTGCATAACAAGATAATGGAACTTTATAAAGATGTAAAAAGAAATAAAACGATATCCAAAGCCTTGAAATCTGATGTTTTGAGGGTATGTGAGCTCTAAAGGCACGGGAAATCTTGTGAAAATTTATGGCAAGATGAATGCAGCATGTTATCAGAAAATACTGGCATACAATTAGCATTTTTCTACACAAAGACTGCACATCGGACGCTCTTGCATTTTTCAGCATGACACCTAAGCACGAGTTGACCCTCCAGAGATAACAGCAGAAAAAGGTGAAGGTTCTGGAGTGGCCATCACAGCCTCCTGACCTTAATATCATCATGCCATTCTGGGGAGATCTCAAACATGCGGTTCATGCAAGACGATCAAAGACTGCATGACCTAGAGGCATTTTGCCAAGACGAATGGGCAGCTGCAAGAATTGCATAGACAACTATTACAAAAGACTGCACGCTGTCATTGATGCTAAAGGGGGCAATACACCATGTTATAAACTAAGGGTCATTTCTTTTTCTTTGTTGCCATGTTTTGTTTTATGATTGTGCCATTCTGTAATAACCAACAGTTGAATATGAATTCCATAAGAAATAAAAGAAATGTGTTTTGTCTGCTCACTCATGTTTTCTTTAAAAATGATACATACATTACCAATTCTCCAAGGGTATGCAAACTTTTGAACACAACTGTAACGTGTGTGCCCCTAGAGTAGCACAATGGTAGCAGTCCCCAGATACACTTGAAAACAAGAAATACTGATGTATTTAATAGGAAAGAGACTTACTAAATATAGTAAATGCAAAAATCTAAAACTTTACATTTAGAACAATGATCTTCCAATATTTGTACAATAAATTATAAATGTTAATATATATCTATGATCTATCTAAAAAATTATTAATTAAACTTTAAGTAAAGCACCCAGTGGATATAGGAAAATGACATGCTAAAATACCCAGTTCTAAGATAAAATAGAAAAGGATACGAATTTCAGTAACAGGTTTTAATATTGCAGACTGGGTTGTATCTGTAAATAAAAACGAACAATATTTAGATACATTTTTTGTTTAAGCGAACATTAGATTAGATTTTGTGAAACTGTTATAATCTTAATCAGATTTATTGAATTGAAATTATTTGGTTTTATCTATAACTAGGGACAAAAAATGAACGATAGCATAATCATAAGAAAATAATGATAATTTAAAAAAAAATTAAAAATAGATTTTTCATTTCCAACTTTATATGGTTTCCCTGGAGTCTGATTCACTTGCTCTTAGGCCCACCAATGACTGGAATACCTCTGTTCCTACCTAAGATGAAGAAATAGGATGAGCTTTCCAATAACCAGAATTGCCACAAAGAATTCCATTTACTTCTATGTGCAAACCTGTATTTCACAGTAGCGAGCACTGCGGTACCACTGATAAAATTAATAATAGTCAAAAGTGATGATAGAAGTGTGCATATGAGCCTGGATCAGTGAAACAGGACAATGTTTTTTCAGGTAGTGTGGGTTGTGGTCAGGGTAGTAGTATGAATGGTGGTGAGAATGTTTTGACTTTATCTCAATATTGAAACATGGTCACTACTGCTATTACAGAGAAGTGATAGTTCTTTGTTCCTTAACCCCAGTCAGAATTTACTAGACTGAACAGAGCTAAACAGGGCATTTGCACTCAGGCATCAACTGGAGAAAAACCATAAGCCTGCATACACACCCAGCATTTACTCCAGCAGTGCTCTATGGAGGCGGCATGTGCTGTGCAGAGGTGGATCCAGGGGGGCAACAGGGCAATTTCCCTCCCCCCTTCACTGAGGAAATACCGCCAGTAGAGGGTTGGGGAAGCCCATACACAGGGGAAACCTGACCGACCGGTATGTCTCTCAGGAGTCCTGTCTGGTGCTGCAGCTCTTTGGCAGCGCGACCGGGCCCCTCTAATGTATGCAGAGAGTGCTGGAAGGAAGTGATTAACTGTCACTTCCTCCCTCCTTTCAGACCACGCTGGAGGACACAGAGGAGGCAACCAGAGGAAAGGAGGGAGCACTGCAGGCATGGAGTCTCAGACTCCCATCAGCAGCAGCCAGCCCCATGAATTCACCTCCCTGCCACCGTAAGGTATGAAAGCAGGAGGTTGATTAACAATATATAAATTGCAATTTGTGTATGTGTGTGTGCAGTGTGTGTATATGTAGATATGCATGTGCATTTGTGTGTGCCAGTGTGTGTATGTATCTTTGTGTGTGTGTGTGTGTGCTGGTATGTGTATGTATAAGTATGTGTGTTTAGATACGTGTGTATGTAGGTATATGTGTGTCAGAGTGAATCTGTGTGTGTATGTTAGTGTGTCTGTGTGTAGATGTTTATATGTGTGCTAGTATGTGTAAGTGCTTGTTTACGTATATGTGTGTATCTGTGTGTGTGCCAGTGTACAGTGGTGTATCCTGGTTTTGTGCTGCCCTAGGCAGGACAAAACACAGGTGCCCCCCTTGCCGCGCGCCACCCCCACCCAACCCTTTCCCCCGTCCCACCTTCTAAATACACACACACACACACACACACAGTCAGACACACACACAGTCAGACACACACAGTCAGACACACACACACACCCAGTCAGACACAAACACACAGTCAGACACACAGTCAGACACAAACACACAGTCAGACACACACACACAGAGTCAGACACAAACACACAGTCAGACACACACACACACACACACACAGACACAAACACACACACACATTCAGACACACACACACACACAGTCAGACACACACACACAGACACACACACACAATCAGACACAAACACACAGTCAGACACACACACACACACACACACAGTCAGACACAAACACACAGTCAGACACACACACAGAGACACACACACACAGTCAGACACAAACACACAGTCAGACACACACACAATCACTCACATTAACACTTTTTTTTATTTAACCCCCCCTCCTCCCCAGTCTCCTTACCTTTGGGAATGCTGGGGTGGGGGGGTTCCTCTTTCTCCCTGGTGGTCCAGTGGCTGCCGGTCGGGCTGATGGGCAGGCGGCGCTGGCGAAGGAGCTCTTCCTCTGAGCTGTCTGCTCAGCCCCCTCGCGCGCCCTCCCATCAGCCAGCGCTGCCCGCCAGCCCAGTATGTCAGTTAGCCGCGAGGCTAACTAGGCATTTGCCCTGGGCATTTGGGGGCGGCGTTTTTTGCCGCCCCCTGAAAAAAGGCGGCCAAGGCAAATGCCTTGTTTGCCTCGCGGCTAATACGTCCCTGCCAGTGTATCTATGTGTCTGTGTAAGTATATGTTTGTATCTGTTTGTGTCATTATGGGTACATATGTGTATCTATGTGTTAGTGTGTTTCTGTGTCATTGTGTGTGGCCGCATATGTAAACTACATACAAATACACTCCTGTATTAAAACACCAACATTATAAACAAACACAAAAACTATACACAAATACACCCCTACATTCAAACACCAAGACTACATACAAACACACCACTGCATTCAAACGCACTACACACTTACACCACTGCTTTTAAGTAGCAACAGTACATTCTACTGCTGCATTCAAATGACAACACTATACACAAATAGACCCATTCATGTCACACACATACTCCATAAATAAACATGCTTACATACAAACACACAAAAACTGCTCACACGTAAAACCCTGCAAGGATGAGCAAATGGTAGTTTCACCACTGCCCGCTCTGCTGAGCGCCGGTGATGTCACATGCCGGCATACAGCATGGTATACTACAGCCCCCACACTAAAGCCCCTATCCCCCCTACAGCCCCATAACCTAATAATTACAAACCTAAACCCACCAATACTAGTCTCCTATCCCCTACACTATAGCCTCCTATCGCCCTGCTACAGCCCCGATTACCCTGCTATAGCCCCTATTACCCCGCTACAGCCCACTATCAGTGCCAATCCCGAGATTTGGTTCTGGATCCGCCTCTGGTGCTGTGTGTATGGCATTGTGAATGGTGACTCACTTGCATACTCTGCCCTGCAAAGCAAGTACATGAAAATTAAAAAAACAGAGAATTGAAAAGAAAAATAGCATTCACTATAGCTAACTTTTCTTTACCTTTTAGGTTATGGTAATATTGAGGAAATTATAGTTCTTCTTTAAATAAAGGTATTTGACTTCAATGCTAGACAATTTTAATTTTTATAATACTAAAGTAATGTGAGCAGAAGAGGAATGATTAAAATGTAAAGGAAAAAAAACAACACATTGTTCCATTGTTGTTATACATTTGGCCAGTGCTCAAAAATAACTGATATTTATTCAGAAATTCTCTATATTCTAAATGCTAATAAATATAGCACGGTACCTTTTTTGTAAATTTCTTTGGTCCTGCCATTCCGATTTTGTTCCCTTGTGTCCTGCATACACCAGCATAGCATTGGGGCATCATTAGATGACCTGACTCCTGCTTCAAAAGCAAACTCTTCTTTTTTTTACCTTGCGCTAGCTTGGAGGCTGTTAAACAAGCATCCTTGTGTTCACACCAGGCTAACATGCCCCATCAGTGCTATGCTCCTTTACAGAGGCGGCTCTCTAATTAGGCGATTAAGGCCGAAGACCCAACATGTCATTCTGCCCTAAGGTGATTTAGGCGTCAATCAGCGCGAGTCCTCGGCCTAAGGCCTCACGCTGATTGAGGCCTCGCGGCCGCCTAAATCACCTTAGGGCAGAATGACATGTCGGGTCTTTGGTCTCTGACAGAGGACCCGACACAGGAGGGGGCCCGGTGGCTTGTCCATTATGCCGCCAGATGCGAGGACCCTCCTGTCAATCTGCACTGACTGAGAGCCAGCCCCCGCATCTGCAGCTCTGTTGGATGCAGAGCTGCAGACTGAGGTGTCTCGCTATCTCTAGTGTATCAGAGCATTGCCACGGGTTACCACTGCAATGCTCTCATACTTCTGGAGATCGTAAGACTTACCATGTGGTCTGCAGCTCTGCACCCGGCGGAGCTACAGACCAGAGAACCTGCCCACCGAACCACCAGGGACAGAGACACTGGACCACCAGGGAATAATTAAAGGGAAAATATTTATTTATAAGCCCCCCACAACCTGTCACTCCACATCCACCCTCTCTCAGCCCCCACTACCCTCTCTCAGCCCCCACTACCCTCTCTCAGCCCCACAACCCTCTCTCAGCCCCCGCCACCCTCTCTCAGCCCCCACTACCCTCTCTCAGCCCCCACTACCCTCTCTCAGCCCCCACTACCTTTTCTCAGCCCCTACCCTCTCTCAGCCCCTGCTACCCTCTCTCAACCCCTACTACCTTTTCTCAGCCCCACTTCCCTTCCTCAGCCGCCACTACCCTCTCTCAGCCCCTACTACCCTCTACAGCCCCTACTACCCTCTCTCAGCCCCAGTACGTAACAGAGTTCTGGACTGCAAAATTAATTTGTGCATCTCTGCATGTTATTTTCACTACCTTTTCTGACTTACTCTATAGCAGTGGTTCCCAAACTTTTTAGTTTCAAGGCGCCCTTAATATTTCAGTATTTTTCCAAGGCACCCCAAGTCAAAATTTCTAGGTTGCATTTCTGTACAGCGCTGCGGCATTTACTGGCACTATAGTGTAATGTACAGTGTTGGTGTTTGAAGGGGTGCTTGTATATAGTTTTTGTGTTTTAATACAGGGGTGTGTTTGTATGTAATGTTTGTGTTTGATTGCAGGTGTGTGTCTGAATGTAATGCTCACTTTTAAATGCGTATGTACATTTATGTGAAGTATTTGTGTTTGAGTGAAAGGGTGTGTTTGTATATTTTTTTCTTAGTTTGAATGCAGGGGTGTGTGTATGTAATATTTGAGTTAGATTGCACGAGTGTGCTTGTATGTTGTGCTGGTGTTTGACTGCTTAAATGTATGCACATACACTACCACATACATACATACATACTTACACAGATATTCATGCACATTAACACACAGATGCATATAACTACACCGACACATACACACAAATTCATACAGATACTGACACATACACACAGACACATACACACACACATAGATACACACCGACATATACACACATGCACCGTGACACACACAAACATTGATACATGCCCAGACCATGACACAGATACACACACACTGACATAAAAACACACACCCTGACACACAGACGCACGTACACAGATGTGTGCGCAGACACAGAAGCACACTGACATATATATACACACACACACACACCCTGACACACACACACCCACAAACACCCTGACATACACACACACTCATACGCTCATACACACTCATACACACATTCATACTCACACATACACACACTCATACAGACACACACACAAGTGATTTTTTAAAAATATCTCCAGCCACCCTCCTGTCAGCTTACCTTATGTGCCAGGAGGGTTGCTTGGAGTCCTGCTGCTCTTCGTGCTCCTCTCCCCTCACGCCGCGACTGCCTCCTCCCACGGTGCTTACCTGCAGGATGCTGGGAGGAAGTGACAGGCTGTCATTTCCTCCAAGCCAGCTGACATTACAGGGCTCCAATTGCGGTCTTAAAGGGCCACGGCACCTGACAGGGCCCCCTGTTCAGCAGTAAAGTTTCTCCAGTGCTATAATCATAGCACCAGGGAAACATTCCGCGGCACCCCTGTGTACACGTCGCAGCACACAGTTTGGGAACCGCTGCTCTATAGGGTTGTCTATTTTGGCCTGTTTGGTCAAAAGCATAGTTTATCCATGCAAAAACTGTACCACAATCAAGAGCTAGTATGCATTTATGAATTCTAACTTCATAAGTGCTAGGTATCTCAAAAAATTACTTTGTGTGTTTTCATATCTTTAATGTGTGCATGGTCTGAGTATATAAGTAGTGCTTCTGACGTAAAAGTGGCTGCCCCCATATAGCATGGGTAAGCCAGGAGATTATCTCAATACAGTTAATTACTAATGCTTGTTTTACTAAATAACACATCACAAGGCTATAATACATGCAATCTTTAATTTTCATTTTTAAGTTTTCCTTTAGGACAAAACATTGCCAGGTGTTCTCAGAAGGATAATGTGACCATTTATTAATATTTATTCACTATTCTTTCTACTCAAATTAAATGTTTAGAATAAACAAGAATATATAAGAATTGCCAAATAAGAACCTGTTGATCCAATGGATTTTAAAGATGGTGGTAAGTTGCTTGCTTTTTGAATAATTTTATCATCTTGAAAAAAGCAATTGCTGTCCTTACGTATGCTATATGATGCAAGTTGAGGAATGCACTTATTATAGTCTGATTTGAGTATTGATTCTGGGGTTTCTGAACTGTTACTCTCTGTTGCCGCAAGCTGTTCTTCAATTTCCAACGAATCATTTTCAAACAAACTGCAGAAAAAATAAATATTCCAATATGTAATCTGACATTAGTTAAGTATATTTGAATATTATGTTATATGTTAAAGGTATACAGCTTCTGCAGTTACATATCAATAAATCAATACTATAGCTTCCACAATCTCTATGGGCTGCTTAGCATATTTAAAAAATACTAATTTTCTAGTGCTTTATGAGAGCTCTAGTTCAACTTTCCACTAGTAGTTGTAAGGCCCACTATTAGCTTACTTATAAATAAAAAAAAACAATAAATATAATATAATTAAAATACCACTATAGTCACCCAGACAAAGTCATCTCAATGAAGTGGTCTGTGTGGAGTTTTAACTCTGCAATGTAAAACATTGCAGTTTTTTTTATTTTTAAATCACCATTTTTAAATCTCCATGCATGTGTATCAGTTTCCAGTACACTTCTATGAAACAGAGAGCCAGATGACATTGCAGGTGGTGGTGCTGGAGTAACGCAAGTAAATCTTACATTCCTGACGTTATAGTCTTCCTTTAACTGATTATGCCCTGATCCACACTTTAATGTTTCAATGATTATTTGTATAATTTATTAATTCAAAATTTTCTGGGCAGTTATATAGGAGCTGAGCCTATGTTTTGCACTGTTTACTCATGCTAGGGCTAGTAAATGGGGTTATTTACAGCGTGCTGTGTCTGAATGTATAATTAAGCTAAAATTGTGCTGTAAATGGAATAACAAAAAAGTTGATAATGAAACACACTGGCTGTTTTGTCACACTCCACATGAAGGACCATTCCACTGATATGACATTTGACATTTGGAAAAGGCTTTTGTCAGTTCCATTGATCATAAAAAAAACTCCTTAATGGATGTGCAAATATATCAACCCTTTATTATCATCCTTAGACAAAACATGGCAAGGTTCTTCTCCATGTACACACTTCATAAAAGCAGGAGGTAATCTAGGGGGCTATGTAGGGATAATTAAATCAGTTATCAGTGTAAGGCAGGTGAAGGCAAAAATATCAGAGTATAATGATTCTTTGTGATCTAGTAGGGGAGTAAATCAGTAAAGACTTAAGAGTAACGGTATCAAGGGAGTATAGGGTTGTATTATAAAAGCGTCTGTGAAGAATAACAAGGGAGTACATGATAAAAGTGTAACAATAAATTGTAGTTAAGATGTTTATGTTATCTAGACAGATATTTATTAGTAAATCAGAATAATCAGAAATAAATAGTTTAAATTAAGGAGTACCTTTTTTTAAAATCACTTATACAGTCATCTTTGGCTGTGTCTATGTTGTCTTCAAAAGACCTCTGTCGAGATTCTGGAAAATCAGTATGTTGAAGCTCATCATCACCATATGTAAACCAGGGTAATGTTAATGACACATTCCTTGAACTTGCATATCCTGTCTTTGGCATCGTGTTAGCGTTCAAATTAATTCCATACAGGGAGGCATGTGTCAATGGAAAAGAGTTTTCTTTTGCATGTATTTTTTTAAATGGTGGTGTAAAAAAATTTGGTTTTGGTTTACTTGCTTTAAAGAAAGAAAGAAATATATTAGTGTAAGAGTAAATGGTTAAAGATTTAGAACAGCGTACAAACACACAACAGACTAACAGATTTAGCAGGGTATTGTCACATATTTTATTTACAGGCATATGTGCCATCTGCCTGGAAGGTGAAAATGTGACAGAATTTTCAATTAACGTTATGATGTTTCCTTTTCTGACTTATTTACTTGTTTTTGTTCAACATTATATTTACAATTCAAGCATGTTTTATTGGGATATTAATATTACACAAAGCTAGTTTCAGACACAGAGGAATCATTTGTCATCTATGTCCCATACACCTAAATATATGTATGTGCAAATTATTGTGATTTAACAGCATCCTTTGTCTGGTTGCAATTCCTGGAAACTGCAGCATGAATTGTATTTAGAATTCACAGCTATACATTAAGCAATTTTAGAGCTTGATAGGTGTGTAACTGCTTGTTTGACACTGGAACAGTTATTAATTCTTATGACTGTGTGCTATGTCCAGACTGTTGTATTAACTTTATTTTATTATTAGCTAGGTCAATGCAATGCAGAATACATTTATTTACAAATTTTAAATAAACGCAAAGGTAATAATGGTGTCAATGAATGGTCCATACACCTATATTTATGTATGTACGAATTATAGTAAATTAATAGAATCCTTTGTCTAGTTGCCATTCCTGGAGCCTGCTGCATTAATGGTACTTTGAATCCACAGCTACACATTAAAGGACCACCCTCAAGGCACGAGTATGTTTTCCTGGCACTATAGTGCCCTGAGGGTGCCCCCACCCTCAGGGGCCCCCTCCTGCCGGGCTCTGGGGGGAGGAAGGGGTTAAAATCACCTCTTTCTCCAGCTCCGGGCAGGGAGCTCTCCTCTCCGCCTCCTCTCCTCCTCTTCGGCTGAATGTGCATGCGCGGCAGGAGCTGCGCGCGCATTCAGCCAGTCCATAGGAAAGCATTCACAATGCTTTCCTATGGACGCTGGCGTCTTATCACTGTGAAAATCACAGAGGCTGGATTAACCCATTTATAAACATAGCAGTTTCTCTGAAACTGCTATGTTTATAAAAAAAAAAGGGTTAACCCTAGAAGGACCTGGCACCCAGACCACCTCATTAAGCTGAAGTGGTCTGGGTGCCTGTAGTGGTCCTTTAAGCACTTTGAGAGCATGATAGGTGTGTAACTGCTAGTTTGACATTGGAACAGTTTTGAATTTTTATGTGCTGATGTCCGGACTGTTTTATTAACTTTAATGATTAGTACTGTCAATGCAATGCAGAATCCAGAAACTAAAAACGTCTGCAGAGAATACAGAAACAGAAATAGTAAATAGCAGAGTTAACAAAGTCATAGGTATCATTCCCCACCATGTGGGGAGCACATTGCCAGAACATTCCATGGATCAGAATAATCACACATAATAGGAAAGTAATAGGTCAAGAAAACATGAATAGAATTGATTATACAGTTGACTCAAACATGTTAAGGAATGGTCAAAAAAACTTAAGCAAAAATAGAATTACATCAGGTTGCCCGCAAATACTCATAGAAAGGAAAAAAGAAAAAGGAGAAAAGGTGATCCATAAGCAAGGAAAAGAGAGAGAAAAAGAGGGGAGAAGGAAAAGGGAAGGAATCTCTCCCCTTCCCCAGGACAAAAACCACCTCCCCAAGTCGAACTACTTTAGAGCAGTTTGTACAACTTACCTGGGTCGCACCATGCACCTGTGGCCACATCCTCTGCGCCTGGTCTTCTCGTACTGGAAAATCAAAATTGTTCTAGAGCAGTGGTTCCCAACCCAGTCCTCAAGTACCCCCTACCAGTCCAGGATTTTAGGATTATCCAATTGTGTCTAAGGAGTATTTAGAAAAAAAAAACACTTAAGACACAACAGGGTAATCTCTAAATCCAGGACTCGTAGGGGGAACTTGAAGACTGGCTTGGGAACCCCTTGTGACATTAGTCACCATCACCAAGAGCTTAAAATGGACAATTCAATTAGGTACCTGGATGATTCCTATGTTTAAATCACCCTGTGTCCATTGTGCGTGCAGGGTGTGTGTGCCATGTGGTTGTTTGGGGTTAAATGTTAGTGTGCTCTGTGGATTTGGCTGTGGAGCCTGTACAGTGCCACCTGTTGGTTGCAAAGATCTAGCAACAGCTATATGCAATTATGCACTACCTGAATAGCAAGGCTTGCTAATTTGCATATTCAGGTAGATTTGCATAGTGCTAATTCTGCAGGCAGGTGAGATATTTTCTGTTAATTATTGTCTTTCCAACCCCTTTATCAATATGCCATTATGTTATTATAAGTTCATGTATGTTGACTGTTTGTATGTGGTTTTATTGAGTTGTCAAAGTAATCTATATGTAATGAACATATGGGCTAGTCCCAAGAAAAATAAAGTTTTGTATGTCAGTTCCTTTTGGAACTTGTGTCCGGTGTGGATTTGTAGGGTTCCTAGTGACCTGTTTGATGGTTGCAGGATCCCTTTAGCCCTAGGATATTTTAAAAGAGCTAGGGCTCAGAGCCGCAGTTGCCTTTGTAAAGGCAATAACTATAATCACTGTAAGTAGAGCTCCAGAGGAATAGGCAGAAGGAACGATCCCTGCCTGGAAGAAGGGCTGCAGTGGAATAGGCAGAGGGGACTATTCCTGACTGGAAGGAGAGCTCTCCAGTCAAGCGCTGGGGCTGAAGCATTCTAGGAAGCGGATTTGGCGGAGGAACCCAGGCAGGGTACAGGAAGCTCTGTCACACTCCTGTTCTAGACCAAAGCAAGTCAAAGCAGGGTTGTACTTTGTGGCTAAAAGCATCAGCTGAGTCCTCTCCAATGAGCATAGTCCAGTATTGGGCATGCTTTATAATGTATAGATATCCAGCTTCTTCTGATGGTGCTCAGGAGACTTGTTAAACTGTAATAAAAGCCCCATACAAAACTGTACTATAATCCCACATAAGGGAAGAAAATTAGGGAATTATCTTCTAAAATTTTCTTATGTTTAACTTTTAATATTTTAGCTGTTTAGTAAATAATTCCCTAATTTAGCATCCTTAATATAGCAATCCCACATAAGGATCGATGGAATAGTATTCTTCATACACTTTACTTTACTGGTGGTGATTGTCTTTCATTACTTTGCATTGTGACTGAGAACCTAGTGCACCCATGAACAAATTGTCCTCAGTGACTATTTGCACGTGTGGTAAGGGTGACTTTCAACCATTTTTTTGACAAGGAATGAAGCAGTATGAACCCAATTAAAGTAGGACATGATGTTACATTATTTTTAAAGATTTTGAAACAGGCTGCAAGAAACAAAGATTTACATTAGATATTCAGATTTTTTACATTCCTAACATCAAAAATGAATTCACTTTAAAAAAAATATTTTGCACTTACTCTTTGTAATTCTACACCATAGGAGACTATGGTATCACAATACGAGAGGTTAGCTCAGGGTTACATAAGCAGTTACTGAATTTCACACAAAATACACTCACCTGCTGATTTCACTTCTGTTAGCTCTTTTTGAAGATCTTGAGTAAGAGGAATTTCAGCAATAGAAGGAACTGGTGCATGTAGCCAACTTTTTAGCATTTGGTCCTCAAACCTGTTATTTAAAATGTAATATATTGCAATTTAAAATTGTAAAAGTGCATTCTTGTAGTGACTGTGAATGCAAGACCGCTCACGTTAGCTCTCGATAACATTTAATATATTGGATCAAGTATTTTAGTTACTATGAAATTAGCATAAATTGCAATCTTACACTTTGTTTGAAGTTGGTCTTTCAAAAAATAACCCTGTTAGAGAAAGTCCAAAATCCTCAGATTCCTCCATGTTTGATTCGTTTCTTTAAAAAAAAAAAATAATAATAATAAAATCAAATCACAAATCAAAACATACAGTTATAGGTATGAGATGATATTCCATCGAAAAATAAAACACTGGAAAACTAAAAATGATTTGATTATAATCAAAGCCACACAGGAATAAGCAAGGTACACGTGTAAAGTACAATATGATTATTATGCAGATATGGAAAATATGTTGTTTCTCAAATATGCAATAGTAAACCAATCTTATTTCAGAATGCGTAACAAAGCCACAGACATGTGGGCTATTGATACATTTCTGGATAAGAAGCATTGCTGGAAATTCTTAGACGACTTATGATATAAAGCAAACTCCAACCACAATAGCCCTACAGCTTAATGGAGTGATTCTAATGCAAGGAAGCTGAAAATACTTGAAATCCTCATTGTGTCATTTTCAGCACCTTTGCACCACCACTACACACTGACATCTTATGGGGAACTTTAGCTACCGGTAGCTAACATATGGATAGTTGAACATACTAATGCTATTCAAGCAAGTCTTTCTCCACTCTGAGCCAGGCAATGAACTGTGGAACTGTCTGGTATGCATAGGCACTCAAGGCTCCTGCAAGTGAAAAATACTGACTTAAATTGGTACAAGCACAGTGTGCATGCTAACATCATACAAATACTTAGAATGCTCAATAAGAAAGTGATGCTTCCCAAGTTGTCAGTGGGAAGGCAAGTGGAACATGCACACTGGAGTTGATGATGAAAATGGTGAAAATGACAATGACTTAAAAGGTTAGTTTTCAGGGACAGCATTTTAGTACAACAATTAATTTAGGTGCCTAAAGAACCCAGAGGGAGTGCATTCCTCATAAGTATCCCTATTTAGGTCCCTATTTAAACCTAATTCTCTCTGTCCCTCTTTTCTATCCTAATTTCCCTCTTTTTTAGGAGCTTCATACTGATGTGTCTGAGTGTAAAACAGAGCTTCACAGCAATAATACTGTAATGTGTCTTTAAATAACAATAAATGTGTTTAGAAATCAGTCTGTGTACATAAGATATTCTAAATCACATTTTAGTTGCATAAATTGTTTTTAATAAGTCACCTAAAATTTCACAAGGCAATCCTGCGCCTGACCACACCCCCAATTACAGTCCTAAAATTGAAGCGTCCCTCTTTATACAATATAAATGTTGGAACGTGTGGGAGTACACTCTTAGCCACCTTGCACCATAAACTGTTGAAGACTGTACTTGGAGTGTCAATTTCAATTTCTAAATTTGAAAATGCCATGGGGGACGGGACACAAATCTGCAATCTGAACAGGTACTGCAATATTAAGTAGGAAGGAATCCTCCATGACTGTTAGATTGACAGCTCGGGGGCAGTTCCCTAGTTAACTTAAAAAAGTGCTGATATCATCTCATACAAATTAGCACTTTTATAAACTGAGGTTAAACTAGGGTACTCCTCACCCCAAAAAAAACCTTCAACAGGCTGAAGACCTTTTGGGTGTGGAGTCGTCCTCTAATCATGCAAAGTCAAGATCGATATTCTGATTTCAGTTTACATTTGTCAAAAAGGAATGATTATGATTTCATCGTAATCTTAATGTCTCCTCGGCAGCCATTAATTCATCAATAAATATTAGATATAAGATTGTAATTATAGTTTATAATAAACATTTCATACAGAAAAGATTAAATATTTGCTCTCTTGCAAATATGATGTACAACACAAATGTTTTCTTTATAAAAAAAAATAGCAGAAGGCGACATAACAGCTAATAGATATTGTGGGGAAAAAGCTGGAAAATAGCATTTAGCATTAATTATATTGAGAATTAAAATTTATTTATAAAGATCTAAAACATTATGCAACATTTTTAATTAAACATAAAACTATGCTTTTTTTTTTTTTTTACCGATTACATATTTTTTTAAATTAAAACATTAATCTTTGATGTTTTTGTACCCCTGTTACAAAATGCATCTATTTCTTTTCCTTAACAGATGTCGAACCGATTTTTCTCACACATTCTGAAACTCACTCCCAATAGGAGACTGTCATGTTTACTGTTATAATGTTCACCTAATATGCCACTGTAATGCTTCCAACAAACAAAAAGTTAAGTTCTCCATATCATGAGCTGTGTAGAATGTTTTACAAACTCATGGCTGGAGCAAGAATATTTGCCACCCTAGGCAAATATATATTACGCTGCCCCTTGACTGTCCAACTTGCTAGTAGGAATAATAATTCATAGTACAGTTGTGCTCAAAAGTTTGCAAACCCTGGCAGAAATTGTGAAATTTGGGAATTTGGTTTAAAAAAAATGACTGATCAAGCAAACAATATTATATATTGAAGGATAGTGATCATATGAAGCCATTAGTGTCTGTGTATAAATAACTGTCAAAAGACCTGCGTAACAAGGTAATGGAACTTTATAAGGATTGAAAAGGATATAAAAAGATATTCAAAGCCTTGAAAATGTCAGTCAGTACTGTTCAATCACTTATTCAGAAGTGGAAAATTCGTGGATCTCTTGATTCCCAAGCCAAGGTCAGGGAGGCCAAGAAAGATTTCAGCCACAACTGCCAGAAGAATTGTTCAAAATACAACGAAAAACCCACAAGCAAACCTAAGGAGTAATACAGGCTGCTCTGGAAAGAGTCGGTGTGGTTATTTCAAGGAGAACAATACGACGAAACTTGAACAGAAATGAGCTGCATGGTCGAGTTGCAAGAAAGCAGCATTTTCTGCGCCAATGCCACAAATAAGCCTGGTTACCACAACGCCTTGACACACTTCACAGCTTCTGGCACACTGTAATTTGGAGTAACAAGACCAAAATAGAGCTTTATGGTCACAACCACAAGCGCTATGTTTGGAGAGTAGTCAACAAGGTCTATAGTGAAAAGAATACCATCTCCACTGTGAAGCATGGTGGAGGCTGACTGATGTTTTGGGGGTATCTGAGCTCTCAAGTCACAGGGCATCTTGTGAAAATTGATGGCAAGATGAATGCAGCATGTTACCCGAAAGTAAAAGATTAGAAGTCCTCTTTCCCTGTCATGTAATGACTTTGTCTCATAGATAATACAATAATCTGATAAGAAATGTATGAGTAAAAAAATACAAATTAGTGAAGAATAAAATACAAAAAAATTAAAATTAGTAAAAAATACATTTTAAGTATTCTCTGATGCAGTGTATTGTATAGAATGATCCTTACATCCAGCCTTATATATTCACAGCTATTATGCACATTCTTTCACCAATATGCAGATTTGTAAAAGCCCTTAATAATGTTTAAAAGTATGTACCTTATAAATATAAAGATACTGATCCAGTATAGTTAAAAATACTATCCTTAATGTGAAAAAAAATGAA